ATAGGCCTATAGGTCGGAAGTTTTTTAGCATGGAAGCTTAAGGGCATTTTGGTATGAGGCATAGGAGGGTTTCATTCATCTTAGGGTGCATTGTTTTGGTTTCAAAGCACTTTTTGCAAAACTAGATGACATCCTTCCCCACAATGTCCCAGTATTTTTGGTAAAAGAAGCGGTGCAGGCCATTAGACCCTAGTGCTTTGAATTAACTTTTTAGATGCTAGACAGTGTATGGCTCTGAGTGTTTGGGTTAGTGGTATTGATTGATGATTATGTGTGCGAAGATGTGTAGAGTGCACCAAAAAAACTAGCAATGGAGTTTTGGATGTCATGTGGATCAAGTTGCCAATTATCAGACTCTTCTTTTAGAGAAAGACTCATGTTTCTTCTTCTCTTGTTCAGGATAGAAGTATATGGGAGAATCTGGTATTGGCATCCCCATCAGTGAGCCAATTGATTCTGGATTTCAATTTCCGGAAAGCCTTTTTTATTTTTGAGGATTAAGTCTTAATTCCTCAATCAATGTGTTTTCTAGATTTAGGAGGAATTGACTAAATTGGTAATTTGAAAATTTTTGGATCCCAACAATCCTGGCTAGTAATCTCTTTTACTTATGGAATATGTTTCCAAAAGTGTTTTTGTTCCATTGAGTGGCATTGTTCTTCAATACTTGGGATGATGCGATAAGGGTGGAGGCAACTGGAGAAAAATCCTAAATGAGTTGTGGAAAGGCAAGGTGGGTGCACCACATTGTCTCAAATCTGAAGGGTTTGGTGCTAGCTGGAGAGGGGGTCGTGTTTTAGCTTTATTAGTAGGTGGCAATAGTTAGAATGGGTATTAGGAAGGTGAGTTACAGAGGCCTCAGGGTATTCAGAGACCCAACAGTTATTGGCAAAATATCTATCAATTCTTTCTAGATTAGGTTGGATCTATTCCTATATCTCGTGTTAGTCCAGGTGTATTTACTACTCTTGTATCCTAGGTCCACTAGTTTATATTGTTAATGCAATTTCAGAATAGGTTGCTTCTGTTAATGTTAAAGCGGATTCCTCCAAACTAATCTCTGGCTTTTAACTGTTTGTTGAAATCCCCTCCCACAAATCAACTATCATTAATACTGCTTGAGATATCAATTAGACTGTCTCAAAGGATTTTCTTATCATCTAGGTTATAACTTGCATAAATAGTAGGAAAAAAACCATGGGGGATATGAGGGTAATAACTTGACCATTGTATGGATACCTTGGGGGGGGGGGGGTGGAGACCTCATCTACCTGGAGGATGTCTTCTTTCCACATAATGATTATGCCTCCTGAAAGGCCCACTCCTGGGAATTGGATGTACAGGTCAAACTGTAGTTCCTCGGCTAGTTTTTTTGTAGTCTACCATCTTGGTTTCCAGTAGCACTAGCATGGCCGATTTGTGAAGCTTGATCATCTCTGAGTAGTGCCTTTTGAACTCAGCATTGTTTGCCCCTCTAACATTCCATATGATGTAGTTCATCAAAGGGTTGAGGTTTGTTTGGAAGGCCACTGCTTGTGCCTTTTCCTTCCCCTGGGCATGCATCTCCTTTTTCCTTGATACTGGTATGTGAGAGCACACATTGGTGTCAGTGTAAGCAGGGGCTTCAGTATCCCCTGGCTCTAATGAGATCCCAGACCCAATCCATATTTGGCTAGTGTTTTGGGGCATAGTAAGATTAAGATCTCGTTTCACTCCACATTGAACTCTATTGCTCTCACTACATCTAGCCATAGTGAGTCTGTCCTCAGTGGTCAATATAAGCTCTGGGTTATCATCTCCTCTTTGTCCTTCTTCCCTTTCAGGATATCCAATGATTTTGTTATTTCCCTTGATATGTTCCCCAATGGGTGGTCTTTGGATTTCCTAGTGTTGAAGATGAATGTTCCTGTTGAGACCAATGATCGATCAATTAAAACTGTGGCGTTTCCACTGGGTCTATTTTTGCTGGGTTTGGGAAGAATGGGATCAAGTGGAAGGCTTGTTGCTTGAGGTTGTTTAGTGATGGAGGATAGTTGTTGGATTGTGTGGTGTTGAGGTTGCTCTGTAAGACCATTGATTGCCACAACTGAGTTCCAAAGGTTGCCAAACCCTTGTTCAGCGCCTCCATTATTACCCTTGCTTGGTGGGCTAGGTTTTGGATGATGAAGGTGATGGGTTGATTGCCCAGTTGAAAATTGGAGGATAACCCATGGCCCTACAAAGCTAGTTCCAGCCATGACGCTGCGTGTGGTCCAGCGGCGGTAGAGTGGAGGTTATGAGGATGGGTGCCTTGGTGGGTTGATCCATTTTTTGGTTTTTTTAGCTATTTCTTTTTTGGTATTGTAATTAATTGGGAGGGGTTTGGGGTAGATATTGACCATCTAAGTTTTTATGGTCAAATCATTACCCGACTGCTGGGTTTTGATAGTTGTATCTAATATCGGAGATTTGGAATTAATTGAGTATCCAGTTAAGTTGATGGAGGTTGTGAAATCACCCGAGATTTGGTGAATACGCAGGTAACACACTTGAGTATCCATGAAGGGTATTTCCGCTGAGTTTCTTGGAGGGGTGGAGAAGATGTGTAGGGTGTATCATTGGTAACGGGCTCTCCAAGTGGGTATGGACCCCTGTGACGGGAGGGATTGGTTGGGTCTTTCTTTAGTTAGCTGACAGGCCCTTAGTTTTAGCCATTGGTCTTGTTGTTTGTTTTTCACTGGGGGCCGCTGGATCGAGGCTCCTTCTAGGGTAGGGCCTGTTGTGGAGTTGACGCTTCGGCCCTCTCCTACCGGGCCCGCTTTCTACTTTGCACGCAATTCGGGTTGTTGCTGTATGGGCTAACTTTTAGATGGGGGTTATCTTTTGTTGAAGTATGAGTTATGTTAGTAGAACGATGCGTGTTTAAATGCTTGGAATTACTTTTTGATTTATATTTAAAAGTTTTAGTTTCAAGGAACTTACTAGAGTTTACATCGAACATCTTTACCTGTATACCTTTTGCTGGAGTGGTGTTTGCATTGTTTGTCTGTGCCAATTGTGTTTGTCTTTGTACTATAGGGTGGCCCTGTTTCCTCCTCCTTGGGAAAATTATCGTTTTCCATTCACTTTCCCCTTCAATATTATTTCGTTATGGTGAGCATTCAGGTTGGTCTTGAGAGCGGGTTGGTGGTTTTGGCCTATGCATACATAACTTTTGGGTATGCCTTATCCTTTCACACCTTGTACATAGTACACTTTCTCCCTCATATACCACAACTTGTTTATGATTCCTAATTGTGATGGATGTTTCCACTGGAATCTCAAGAGGTACTTGAATGCAGATTCACGCATATCAACCCATTAAAGTGGCTCTATTTTGAGTAGCTTTCCCAGTTTCCTCCCAACCTTTTCTAGTATTTCTTTGTCGTAGAACTCTGTAGGTAGTTGTGGTAAACGTACCCATATAGCGGTAAAGGATAGAGTTGCCTCTTATGGGATAAATTTCGGTTCCCATTTCCTAATTGAAACGAAGTTCCCAGATAAAAACCATGGCTCTTGGTGCAATGCTTTAATCAAATCTCCTCTTTACAAAACTTGACTATAAAGAAATCTCATCTCAAGTCAATCAAGATCAACTGTTCGATGTGTTCCATGGATCAATTTGTTTGGAGCATAGGAGGTGATGTGACATTCTTCGACCAAAGATCTTGATAATAACAGAGAAGCGCCAGAGTTGGTATAAACGATTCATGTCATTTCGGATAGGATGATTGGGCCCATATTTTCTTTGCCCTTTCCGTCCCCCTTGGTTATGCAAGGTTTATTTTCATAGTACTGAGCTTGAGTTGTCTCTTTCTTATTTAGTAGCATTTCATTGTAGCAGTGTGTTGGGTTAGTGTCTCCATCCATCGGGTTATTGTCCGGTGGTTCAGGTGGGATATTCGGTGGTTTGGTTTTAGTATCCATGTTGGGTCTAGTGAGAGGTGAGAGTTTCTCTTTCTAAGTTTTTTACATTATGCGTAATGTCTAAGAGATAATTATGAATAAGCTTATAAATTGGCAGATTATTTTATACTTTGTAGCTTATAATATGTTTGAAAAACACCATAACTGTTCGTACATTAATTTGATATAATGTAACTAATCTCATTATTTTGGTGTAAACAACGATATCCCAGGGGGTGTGATGAGATTAGCTATCACACCTATATGTAAAAATAGCACGGGCTAGCCAGTTTTCGAACTGGTCATTCAAAAATAGCCAGCGTTTGCGAAGTCATTGAAAAGTAGTCACTATTTTGCTGCAACACGGAAAGTTCGAGCATAGTATATTGGAGATCGGTGCACATGTGTATGAACTTCCAGCATATTATGCTGGAAGTCCAACACGCGGAAAGTTCCAGTATAATATACTGGAGTATTTTTTTCGGATTTTGAACCGTATTTTCGTTCATATTTATCTTTATATGAAAAGTGGCTAAATTTCTATTACTTTTGAAACTATGGCTATTTTTAAATGAGCACTTTTAAATCTGGCTATCTTTGAATTTCCCACCTATATGGGATAACTAGTCTCACTATTTTAGTGTAAAATTTATTTCGATAGCTAACACCTATAACCAAATATGAAATAAATATTATCCCGGAATTATTATCCTTATTTTGATAATCAAACAACCCCTATGGGTTTACAAATAAATATTAAAAAACACGTTTGAAAATATTTGATGCAAAGCATAGAACTTCAAAAGATTTTAAAATTTTAAAGTTGTTTAGTAATTCAAGTTTATATTTTGATGTGATATTTTATTAGTCAAGTTTATTTCTCAATTATCAACACACTTTCTCAGTCAGTTTTATTTGCAATTCACATTTGGTCAATAGTATCTAAGAGGTTGTAGGTCCATTTTATTAGTTAATAATTCCGCAGCGTTAAATGAGCCCGGATCAACCCGACCCGAGACCCAAACGGGAAAGTTGCTTTAAAATTCATTCAGTATAAAGAACCCAATCCTCCAATTTTGGCATTTTGGAATTTTGGAATTTTGAAACTCAATCTCCCGCCAAAGCTTGTTACTCGAAATCGTCAGTTGATTTGAATTTTGATCAACACATCTCTTCCATTCCCAGTTTTCCGATGTCAGTTTCTTCAGCCAAGTTTTTATTCCTGAATTCAGTATTTTCAATGTTAGGGTTATCATTTCTACGTTTTTTCTGATTTTTACCTTTTTGGTTTCAGATGGAGGCCATTTATACCAAGCTCTACAGCAAGTACACTAAGCTCAAGGTATTTTGCGGATGTTTGTCGTCTTCAATTTTTCAAATTTTATTTTTACTTTTGTTTTTGAACGGTGCTGTCTTTTCCTGTTGTTTAAGAGTAAGATTTTTCATTTATTTTTTGGTAGAAAGAAAAAGACAGGGAGTTGGAAAACCTGAATATGGAACAAGAGCTGAAATTTGTGAATTACGTGGCTGGTATGTTGATACATGAATGCTTACCTTGATATGTATCCAATAATTCAAGAAATTATAGATAAAATCTATTACTTGGAGACCTCATAGCTGCCCCATCTTTAATTACATTGAGGCTGAAACTTGGTCGAAGGCTTGACATGCAGCTTTGTTTCTTCCAGCTGCCGAACAACTGATTGAATTCGTGAGAAGTGAAAATGACAGACTACGCGAACAAATCAACGAGTTGAGGAGTGAAATGGCATCAATGAGGTGTCCACTCTTGGGAAGGGCTTGCTTAATTGAATAAGAATATTGAAAAGAATATAAATGTGTACCTAACCTGTATGCAGGGTTGCCAAAGATAATGAGAAGATTCAATACCAAAAGCTTTTGATGGAAGACAACCGGAAGAGTAAGGATAAATTTGGGAATTTTTTAATTGGTTATGGAAGTTCGATTCATCCTAGAATTCCTATTATGTCTGTAGTCCAAAGTTAGTTCTTGAGGTGAGAATTACCAAGAACATATAAAGTGAAGAATGGCTATCGCTGATTCCCTCATCCATTGTGGGATACTCTAACAAAGTCATCATGCATTAGTCAAAGCTTCACTTATTTCTGTGTAAAGGCAGCTACGTATTGCGTTTCTGTAGAGATTTTTGCGTTTCTTATGCTGGTTTTGCTGTCTGTTTGAACTTTTGGAGATAATATTTGTATTCAGCTGCTCTGTTGAATAAATGTCCAATTTTGAAATCCATATAATTATATAGTTATTGCTAATGCTGCAGTTAAAGAACTTAGTGATGAAATTCAGAGACTTCAACAACTTGACCGAGAGGGATCTGGTTTCCATGCTAGCACTAATAAAGGAGAAAGCAGACAAATTATTACTGTTGGAGATTCTCTTCCAGATGCATTGGATGGCTCAACCATAGCAAACCAGAAACGTCCTAGGCAGTCTTTGCCTAGCATACAAGCCGCTGTTACAATGTCTCCCAGGGAAGAACTTCCAACTGGACCTGCACAACCTAGTACGAGTTCATATAGGTACACTGAGGTCAGTGCTACTCTCCAATTTCTATCACATATGCTAGTTTATGCAGTAGAGCTGAGTTGGGATTTTACTGTTCTGACCATCTGACAATATTTTTCAGCCTGCTTGCTGCAGAAGAAATGCTGACATTTCAGGTTTGTTCCAACTGTTAATTGTTGTTTTAAGTCTGTAGTATCTCCTCTTAAGTAACTACTATTTGTATGTGATATTTTAGGTGATGGTGCAGCTGACATCTCTCCAGCCAAGTGCATCTTCCAAGACGTTTTTCAGTGGCTACTCGGTATGAAATTTTCTATTGTGACGGAAAATGAAGAATTATGCATATCAGCGCTTCATGAGTCAAGTGGTAATTTCTGGAGGAACTCTGAAGTCCTGGATCTTGCTTCTTTTGTTCTGTTCCCTTTCCTCCTTTTCAATTCCATTTTCTACTGCCTGATTTGTAGATATGTTATAATCCTTGCTGAAATCTTTGGAATTTGCAGAGGCATTATTCAGTTTCAATAGTTTCCGAAAATTTGCCGTATTTGATTTTATTTGGCCTAAACTTGTAGTTTCTTTTCTAAATTATAAATCTGACCTAATAAATAACTAGTTGGCAGTATATCCATTTTATTTTATTTTTCTTTTCCTGCTTTGCTGTGTTTTTCTTCTTTCAATTAAATTGAAAACTAAATTTTAAAGTTTGTATAAATTAAAAACTTCGGAATAAGTCCTTAAGATGCGCTGTTAATATTAATTTGTCTTGTGAAGGGGAGTCAAGAGATAATGTGAACAACAGCCTCAATTAATAGAAGCTAGTCAACGACACAACATACCCAATATATTCCCATAAGTGGGGTCTGGAAATAGAAGCTAGTCAGCAAAACATGAAATGGTGCTACACTGCTACCTAATAATCAGAAACCTAGATGGTTTATAAGAAATTATTCGATTTTTACATCTTTAGTTTCATTTCTATCTGCAATAACTGAAAAGCTTTTTCTTGGCGTTTGGTTGACCTTTTTTTTGTTGTTGCAAAACTCTGTTTCAAAAATTTGAACCAAATGCCACCTAAATTTCATTTTTGTGATTTTTACTGACTGCTGCTATATAATGACCTAGCAGGTATTGTTTGAGTGGTGAACTTCTATACGTTTAATGCTGTAAAATTTGAGCTGAATGATTGTCACTTAGTCTCACTTTAGATTTGCTACCATAGTGCATTCAATTGTAATTACATCTTCAAGTTAATTATCTTTGGTCAAATACAATTCGACCATCAGATTATTTTACTTTAAATAATAAATATGGCTTTGAATATCAATCAGAATTTCCACTCAAGAGAACTTCGGTCAGTTTGGCCACTCAATGAACTTAGCTGATTTAAAGCGGGCTAGACTGAATGTTTTTAATCTTTAGAAATCACTAAATTAGAAAGGTAGCACTTAGTCTCTTTATAAGCTAGCTATTTAATGTTGAACTTCATTAGATGACTCAGAATTTTGAATTATCCAATTTTCCCTTTGTTCTTCTTTAATAATGATTTGGTGTGATATTCTCACACATGCAGAGTGCTAATAGGGATTAAGATAGAATAATGGGGTCTCTGGGTGTGAATTGCCTGCAAGTCTATTTGATCATCTAGCCAGACTACTATGTTTCAGGAGCTTCTTGAGGTTTTCATGTAATGTGCGTTAGTCTTTGCCTCTTTTAGTTCACGCATACTGACAAGGAAGAGCTGCCCTAATTTTGTATTTTGGATTACAAGACAGTATAATTGTCTCATTACTCTATGCGTTGAAGAAGTGTGATACAGTTGTTTTTCAGCTCTGTGGTGTTTTCCTGTTTCTTTTTTTTTAAAGTGAACTTAATCACTCCAAATTTCAGATATATTCTTCATTGATAACAGCTATGCGCTTTTGGAAGTCTATGCGCTTTTGGAACTTACAGTCTGAAAGTCATCCTTTTGGTTTGTGCAGGACTTTCTTTTAGTTTGACGTTGATAAAGAATGCATCTGAAGAACCAGAATTGGTGTACCGCATGCTATCACTGGGGACCTGTGAGAGAGTGGCCCCTGAGTGGATGAGGGATACTGTCGTGTTCGGTCCAACTATGTGTGCAGTTTTCTTCGAGAGGGTGATTCGTGCTATTAAGCACAGATACTGACCCCATTTCTCATATGTTTCTAACTTGGATCCTCATTCCTCATGTTGTATAATTTTTCTAGGTGATTCCAGTAGAACTATATGTTTTAAAGCAAATTCATGTTTTTATAAGTTGTTCCAGATTGAGACCGCCCTTTTATTTCAATTGGTTGATTAATAAAGCCCATTGTGCAGGAGAATTGTATCCTGAGGCCAAGTGGTTTCTACAACAGGATGTCCTCCCTCTGTCTCATCATCAACTTGAATATTATCCATTTGCAGCCATTTCACTCGCACACTACCACAAAGAGCTTTTCTAAATTCTTGAAATCAACTTGTACATTGGTCCTGGTACTAACTAGCATGTGTAAACAATCAAAACTTCTCACCTTTACGCACCTTTTCTGTTTCTTCAATCTTATTTGAATGGTGTTCAATTGTGGAGAAAGGTGATACATCTGTTTTCAACCATAGCTTGTAAAGCGTGCCTGCCACCTAATACAAGCTATAGAGGAAATCAAGATTACCTAATTAACATCATGATCACAATTCACAAGCTTTATGAGCAAAAAGAAGGTTCCCTATATCCCTGGTGATCTTCACAGGTTCATTAATGTTGAGAGATGATAATGATTAGTAAGACCCACTTCTGAATTACAAAATGATTGTCCCCTAACATCCCTCCTTCATATCAGAGCTCTGTGTCACTGCTCAAAGAATGCAGAGCTCTAAGGTATCCAGGAATCAGAAGCTTCAACTTAAGGGTTGCAGTAGTAGGCTGTGTTTTGTTTTCTTCTGAAGAACTGAAAGTTGAAATTCTGATAGATATCCAGCCAGCCATTTTAAGCACAACACATGCGGCATGATGCAAGAAAAGTTAGACAAGATGATTAGAGAAAGAGAAGAGACTAAAAATGAAAATACCAAATGATAGCCATGGAGAAGTCTTCCTCCGATCCAGGAGAGGATTTTGTGGAGTCCATTGAGCAGAAGATAGTGGCAAATAGGATACATTTGAATTATTACGTTTCTATGGATTCTGAGGAATATCGTGGTTTTATACTCGGGTGTTCCATGAAAATTTGCACCAATTTATTCTTTATCATGTAAATACCTTTCAGATAGTATGAACTTCGGCTTTCTTCATCATCGCCCCCAATCCCTCTCTTATGAGTTTCATATGTTTTTTTGGCCTGTATTTTAAAAAACAAAAGTAGCACCCAAATAACGATGCTGAGTTCAAGTTTCTTTCGGGAGTTGTAGTAATTTAAAGTTGGAACTAGGAAGACCCCCCTCCCCGCGGTCCTACCCACCACCACCCGACCCTTCTTTTAGATATAATATGTGGGCATTTTTATAGTTAGTTTAAGTGATGCTCAACAGCGTAGAATTGGCCTTGGATCCTATAGTCCATGAGAGTATTAGATTCAATTACATGTATATTTACTAGTACCAGTTACCTTAACTGATATTTATTTAACATACGGATTCACAGGCTGCAAATATTGCAGTAAACTTGAATGGGCAAATACAGATTGAGAGATCTAACTATATCAGCCTGTGTTCCCAAAGCCGCCCTAAACAAACTGCTTCATTAGTACAGCACATAAAAAACCCCAGACCCGGAATAGTAAAAGGCTCGTTTCCGGTAACAATAATAGCATTGATATATACTTGGTTGTACTGCACGCCAAAAAACAACGCTTAAACAGTGGATTAATTTGTTACCACAATAGCAAACAAATCTGGTATTCAAAGAGTCTATTGTACTAGATTGTGGAGTTGAATGATTCTGATTTAATTTCAACAAAAGAAAATGACCAAAAAAAAGATTGAATTGATCTGATAGCCAAAATGAGAACTAAAACATCCTCATACGCTACTACTAGAAACTCTCCAAAACTTCCCTCTACGAGTGATATAGATGCAGGTCTACAAAATGCATAAACATAAACTTGCGAGGAGACAGACTGATCCAGAAGTTGGCTTTCTAAGCTTATCACTGAATGTTTGAGGACTTGTTAAGGATAACACCTTCATATTTGACCTGGAACCACTTCATCGCATCCTCCTTTGTGACTCTGTGCTGAATCCCAACTCGAGACTTGCACCTGCGGCGACGGGCAACACGGTATCCAGGACGCTCCAATACAACATAGAAGTCCATGCCATAAATACCAGTTGAAGGATCATATCTGTAAAACAGATGACAAAACTTAAGGAGCGGAAAGACATTTTATGGATATGAAGTAGCAGATGCATAAGCTTCGACGTTAATATAGTAAGGCCACAGCAACCATAAGGAAGAAACAAGAGAGCAATATGAGAAGAATTGTTTCTCAAGAGTCTAGTTCCATTTTTATGCAGTTCAAACAAAAGAGTTAACGACAATATTCTTGTTTTACACTGTGAAAAGGAAGACCAGCTACAGACCACCTCATAAGCAATAGCAGCTAAATATGTAAATCGTGAAAGCAATAGAGAGATACTACAAGATTATCCTTACTTAATTCCAAGATCAATGTGCTCCTGAATACCAAACCCAAAGCAGCCGGTCTCACTGAAGTTCCTTCTCAACAACTCATATTCCTTAACTTTCAATCCACTCTCAAGTAGCTGCATAGCTTTCTCCCCTCTGACCGTTACATAGCAAGCTATCTTTTCATTACGCCTGATTCCGAAAGACCGCACAGTATACCTTGCTGTTAATGAGAAACAAGCAAGCAAGTGAGAGATTAAACAGTTTTCTTGATAAAGCAGGGGAAATCTGAGATAAATACAATATCAGTTAAAGAGTCAGTAAAAAAAGTAACAAAACAAATCACTGGAAATTCCATTCACCAGCTATATTACCCGTATCAATGTATGAACAATAGGAAGACACTAGTTAGTTATCCATAATACGTCACAATATCAAATTGTGAGTAACACTGGCTTCAACCAACATCTACCAAAAATTATTTGCATGCCTTGCAGCTAAAAGAAACATATCCAGTATAATTAAAAAAAAACAACCAAATAAGCTAGTAGTTGTTCAAGGTCTAGTCTAACTGCAGAAAAAAGGGCCTTGTCTACATGCATAAAGGGCGAACTAAACATAGATTACTCCCCATTACCTGACATCTGAACTGCCATTGGTCGATCATCCAACTAAGCCGCAATGAGAAAACTAATTGGGTTCGGCTATATGAAATTTTGCATCCATTTCTTTCTATTAAACATTTAAACTAAAAAATGAAAAATTAATGAAAAACTAAACAAACTCCAGGACAAGCGACATGTTCTTCGCGCAGAGCTAATATTCCCAGAACCGACAATGTACTTAATAAAAATGTGCCAATTAGATCATATTCAAGAACTTTACCCTTGGAGAAAACAGGGGATTGACCGCTAAGCTGCTCCAAGACCTTAAGCATCAAAATGGAAGCAGCCTCAATTTTAGTTTCAACATTAAAAAACGGAAAAAAAAAGAAATTACGGAAAAGGGGTCACACCTTAGCTGCTCTGGTGAGACGATCTCCGCTCTCACCGACGGAGATATTGAGAACGAGCTTCTGGACCTTAATTTCTCTCATGGGGTTGCTCAATTTCTTCTCTGAAGCCTGCAAAACCAAAAATGCTATTAATTTAAAAGGTACATATATACATATTTTTTGGGGACATATATACATATGATTAAACATTAATACTCATGAAACGGAAATGGCTGAGAGATAGATACCATGGCGCTTCCGCTGGAAGATGTTACAGCAGCAGTAGCTGGGAGAGTTGTTGGGTACTGAGATGGCGGAAAAAACCCTAATCGTATCTAACTTTATAAATGGTACGATATGGGCCGCAGCTTGCGTCGGGTCGTGGCCATTTTCAGAATATGTTGGTAAAAAATAATAAAAAAGAAAAAATGTACTAAATTACATTCCGAAAATGATGACACTTTATAACTAACTAGTACTAATACCCGCGCAACACAACTCATATCAAAATTGTGATGCATGTTATTTGAATCATGTGCATATAACCTTAAACTAAACCTCTCAGATAAAAATTATAACTAATTCTTATAAATAAAAAATTCACCAAACACAAAATTAAATAACTTCACATGTCCCCTAATTATTTTCTCTTTTCCATGAACCAAATAACCAGCCCTTAAAAAATAAAAATAATTACTCCCTCCGTTCCAATTTATGTGAACCTATTTCCTTTTTGGTCCGTTCCAAAAAGAATGAACCCTTTCTAAATTTGGTAACAATTTAGCTTAAACTTACAACTGTACCCTTAATGAGAGGCTTTTATAACCACACAAATACTCTGGGCCCTATTTGGACTTGTTTAGAACCACAAATTCCAAAATTCTTCATTTTTTTCTTAAACTCGATGCCCAGTCAAACGATTCACATAAATTGGAACGGAGGGAATAAAATTGATCCAAAGTCAGTATTTCCGTCTAAAACTAACGGTGCAAAAAAATACGGAAATTATCATTCCCATCTTCCCATCGATGACACGCTCATTCCCAAATCAGGAAATACTAACTTTGGACCAAACTTGTTCGCATTTTGATACTTTAAGGATGTAAATGACCTTTAGGTATACTTTAGGATGCTTTCTGCTAAAACTTGTCGAAAGTCTTTTGAAATTTCAAGGTGGTGTTGCTACCGGCAGCAATTGTTGTTCAGAAACTGGCAAAGAGAGCTGTTTGAAATTTCTGCTCATTTCTTGCTTGATAGCCGTCTGGTTAAGGCTATAGATTATTTTTGACCCATTTTTTCTGCTCCATTGAAACAGAGTTCATTGTATTTAAGGTATTTATTCTTTCCAGTTATGGGTTATTTTTGTGTGCTAATAGGTGATTTTGTGTTTGCAATTTTGTATTTTCATATGCATTGATCATTTTATGCATTTTATATGTTCTCATCAGAATTAATTATTCAGAATAACGAATTTCAAACAGCGATTTCATATTGCACTGTGTCATTTCAGCTTGAACAGAAAGGATGCTTATTATAGAGGAAGATGTTATTCTTTTGTACTTTATAAAAGCGTTTGATATCTGCGAAGTATTTGTCTGATAATTTTTAGGTCAAAAAATGCTCAACTGTTCTTCAAAAAATTCTTACTTTTACTCGAAAAATGCTTTCTTTTGTTCGAAAAATGCTTCAGATATCAGGTTTAAACTGTTGGATTAGATGTGGAGCATCAAAGATAAATTATCGACAAGGTTAATGAATGTTTGCGTGGCATCTCTTTGTAAAGCCAAACAATTGGAGAAAGCTGAAGCTGTTATAGTTGATGGCATAATAATTGGAGTACAACCAGATGTTGTCACTTACAACACATTGATTGCTGCATATTGCCGCTTTGTTGGCATAGATGCTGGTTATTCCGTCCTTAATAGGATGAAGGAGGCTGGAATTAACCCTAATGTTATTACATATAACTCTTTGATTGCTGGAGCTACAAGATATTGCCTGTTATCTCGATGTCTCGATCTGTTTGATGAAATGCTTGAGATGAGTATTCTTCCTGATATTTGGAGTTACAACACATTAATGCATTGCTTCTTTAAATTGGGAAAGCCAGATGAAGCGTACAGGGTTTTTCAAGATGTTCTTTTAAAAGATATTTCTGTTCATCCAGCAACATTCAATATTCTAATTAACGGTCTTTGTATGAACGGATATACGGAGAATGCCCTAATGTTATTTAGGAGCTTAAAGCGTCATGGATTTATCCCTCAGTTAGTAACTTACAACATTCTTATTCATGGGTTGTGCAAGTCAAGACGAGGAAAAGCTGCAAGAGAGTTCCTCACCGAATTGGTCGAATCGGGTCATATCCCGAATGCAATCACTTATACGACAATAATGAAATGTTGCTTCAGATGTAAACAATTTGAAGAAGGCCTTAAAATTTTTGCGGAGATGAGAAGGAAAGGATATACGTATGATGCCTTTGCTTACTGTACAGTCGCAAGTATGTTACTTAAAACTGGGAGGATAACTGAGGCCAGCGAGTACCTGGGCTATATTATTACCAGTGGCTTTAGCCTTGATACTGTGTCTTTTAATACCATTGTTAATCTATATTGTAAGGAAGGTCAGCTGGATAATGCTTATAAGTTGTTATACGAGGCAGAAAAAGAAGGTTTGGAATCTGACAAGTACACCCATGCTATCTTGATTGATGGCTTGTGCAGGACTGGCAATTTCAAAGAGGCCCTGCAACATTTGAACAGTATGAGTATGATCGGTTTTGATTCTAACTTGGTCGCATGGAATTCTTTTATCAACGGGTTGTGTAAAGCTGGTCACTTTGATCATGCTTTGCGGATGTTTGAGTCAATGGATGTGAAAGATTCTGTTACTTACTCTACCATAGTGCACGGTCTTTGCAAAGCTGGGAGGTTTCGTGCTGCATCTAAGTTACTACTATCGTGTATTAGAGGTGGCATGAGAATTCTTAAATCAGACAAACGATTTGTTGTTGACGGTCTTCGTAGTTCTGGACTTTCACAGGAAGCAAGGAAAGTCCAGTCTAAAATTCGATTGGCTAAGATACTGCATTATTAATAAGAAATGGTGATCAACTCTGTCACTGAAGTTTTAACCTTATTTGATTGGCTAAGGTTCTGCATTATAATGATTTGTGGAAACTGAAAAATCTTAGAAATTAAAGTGGCTTTAAAGTTTAAACATCTGCATCTGTGCTGGCAAGAGCCAAGAATTCATCTTCCAAATTGGAATTTCCCATATCTCCCGCCAAAGCTTGTGAATTTGTGATCCGAAATTGTCAGTATGGGAAGCTGAACTGAACAACACCTCTATTCTATTCCCTCAAATTTTTCTACGTCGGCTTCAGTACCACAGGTTTTGTTCCTAAATTCAACTTGAGATGTTCTATTTTCTCCATCCAATTTCACCAATAAACCCTTATACTAAGTTAGGGTTATCAAGACTATCTTTTTTCTTTTCAGTTTTACTGTTTTTTTCTAATTTTTGGGAATTTTGTTTCAGATAGAGACGCTCTATGTGAAGCTCTACAGAAAATATACGAAGATCAAGGTTTTTGGGTTTTTTCCTTAACCGTTTCTGTTTATTTTTATTGCTGCTGAGTGAAAAAAGTTAGTGTCTTTTCCTGTTTACTATTATTGATTTGCGTGACATTAAAATTTCAGTTGATGAATCTTTAGTTCATGGTCTAAAACATTACTTGTTCTATTTCTACAGATTGCATGGCCATCTTGATAGGTGGTCTATCCATGTTTACAGGGGTCTTTCTAATCTCATCCTATTGCATGAGTAGATGCTAGAGGTGTTTGATTCAATGGATACACCTAATAAAATACATTATGCAATTACTTGCTAACACAAAAGTGAACTAGGAACAAAGTGCAAGGCAATGTGATTTACTAAAATTTTTATGATTAGTTTGTAGATTTCCATGGTATGGTTTTTCAGGTATCTCTAGGTCTTCTTCTGACAGTGTGCTTCTTCCTTATAGTTTGTGCTTTTGAGATCTATTATTTTCCCATACTTTCGTTCATCTCTCCACAGTTTTGTAATTTTTTCCTAATTCCAGTCAGGTTTACTTTATGTACCTCAGCATCTATATATCGCGTTTATCACTTATTGACAGTATTATGATTGTAAAACAGATATTGGAAAGAAAAATCAGACGCCACTTGCAATAGGTGTTGTCTTTAGTTCTAATGGTCAAATGCCTTGAGAAGATTTTAAACTTTCTTCTTTTGATTGCAGGCCTTAGCGTAGGAGGTGCTGTACTTGCCGGCATTGGCATTGGATGGCTAATCTTCTTCTGCAACAAAAGAGAAAGCAGATTATAGCACAGGCTTCACCTGTCCAAACCGAAAAGAAAGACCTTCCAATTTTAAGTTCAAGCAATGGCCTGACTTCTTCTTCTCCTAATTCTTCAACCACTTTCACCAGAAGCATTCCCTCTTATCCCTCTTCCAAATCTGAGGCTGATTACCGGAGGGGAAGCTCCTACTTTGGGGCTCATGTCTTCAGCTTCGCTGAACTTGAAGAAGCCACGGATAATTTTGATCAATCTAAAGAACTTGGAGATGATGGTTTTGGCGTCGTGTACTATGGTATGTACTGCAAACTCCTGATTGCATATTATTATTTTGGTAAGAGAGCCTCCTAACAATTTTAATAATTGTTAATCAGGCAAGCTCCGTGATGGTCGTGTGGTTGCAGTCAAGCGCTTGTATGAGAACAATTTCAAGCGTGTTGAGCAGTTCATGAATGAAGTTGAGATTTTAACTAAACTCCCCCACCAGCACCTCGTGACATTATACGGGTGCACATCAAAACAAAGCCAAGATTTACTGCTTGTTTATGAGTACATATCAAACGGGACAGTGGCAGATCATCTGCATGGAAATCGGGCCAAATCTGGTTTACTCTCTTGGCCTGTCCGAATGAACATAGCCATTGAGACTGCTGATGCTCAGGCTTATCTCCACTCCTCAATTATAATACACCGTGATCTCAAAACCAACAACATTCTATTAGACAATGATTTCCATGTGAAAGTTGCTGATTTTGGGCTATCAAGATTGTTCCCAAATAATGTCACAAATGTCTCTACTGCTCCACAGGGTACACCAGGCTACGTTGATCCTGAATACTACCAATGTTACCAGCTGACCGAAAAGAGTGATGTCTATAGTTTTGGGGTGGTCTTGATAGAACTGATCTCATCATTACAAGCTGTGGATACCAACAGGCACCGCCATGATATTAATTTGGCTAATCTGGCTGTCAACAAGATCCAACTCATTCAGTACATGAATTAGTTGATCCAAGTCTTGGATTCACGACAAACAGCTCTGTGAGGAGGATGACTACATTAGTCGCTGAGTTAGCTTTCCGATGTCTGCAACAGGAAAGGGATATGAGACATTCAATGCAAGAAGTGCTGAAGACTCTGAGAGGCATCCAGAATGGGAAGTCAAATGCACACAAGGCTGAGGTACTCGACATTGTGGTAGATGATGTTGGGCTTCTAAAGGGCTCGGGCTCCCCTTCCTCACCATATTCCAGTGGATGAACTATCATTTTCAGGTTGGTCAATTTTATTGCCTAGATGAAGAAGCAATTACTATTTTGACACTAGTGATTAATGTCATGGTTCCGTTAGAATCTCCCGTCTTTGATGGACACTTAATTCCTTATTGCTTTGATGTAGTTATCTTGGTATACTGCGATATGGTCTCTGGGAGATTATCTACTGCTGTTCGCATAAGGATGTAAATATTGAATGGAGCTGCCAACATTCTGGTATATATGTGCAGTAACTTTTATGCTGCCACGGGGTGAAATTTATGAAACACGTGGCTGGTACATCTATACCTGATTGCTTACCTTGCTATGCATTCCAGTAATTCGCTTTTTTAAGTTATAGCTATTACATTTTACTAATTGAAAGATCATATCTTGAAGGTAATTTTGTCTTTTTTATTGGAAAGTAGTCCATCTGTTATTGAGCATGAAGTAAACCACTATCTTTAACCGTTGGAGTCCTGAACTCAACTGTTGCTTGTTACTATGAGATATCACATTGCAAGAACAAAATCTGATTTCCTGAGGACATAATCAACCTCATTAAGCTTGCAATGTCTCTTTTTCTCTTCCTTGTTCTCATGAATTCTGACCTATTTAGCTATATGTGGAATTTGAGCACCACCTCACTCCTTGGGGTTGCACTTCAAGAAATTCAGAGCACGTATCTTCTTTTTTTCTTGGCTAAAACGTTATTCCGCCGTAAATTCTACTGGGAGGCCATGTCAATTTCTTTGGTCCTGTCTTGTGCAGTCCTGGCCGAAGAAAACCAGAAGAGGAGTTCCTAAAGTTAAAGTTACTTGTGTAATTTTCTTAGAAATTCTTGGCATATCTAGGGTTCTTTTGAAGTATGCAAAAAATTTCTATATGAAAGCTATATTTGAAGAACTCATAATTGCCATATCTTTAATTATATTTGCAGACGACACGAACAAATCAATTATTTGAGGAGCGAAATGGCATCAATGGGGTGTGCACTCTTGACAAAGGCCTGTCCAATTGAATAAAGATAATGAAAAGAGATATACCTGTGTACTTCACCTGGCTACTCTCTGACTGTGTAACACATATTCTAGTTTATGTATTAAATGAGCTCTGATTTTACTTATCTGACCATCAGACAACATCCTTCAGCCTGGTTGCTGTAGAAGAAATGTTGACAATTCAGGTTTTTCCCAACTGTTAGTTATTATTTTGAGTCTGCGATGTCTCTTCTCTTATGTAACTATCATTTGGATGAGATATTTTAAGTGACGGTGCAACTGACATCTGTCTAGGCACGTGCATCTTCCAAGACCTTGTTCAATGGCTAGTTGGTATGAAATTTTCTACTGTTGTGGAACATGAAGATAATGCATATCAGCACTTCATGAGTCAAGTGGTAATTTCTGGATGAATTCTGTAGTCACGGATCTTGATTATTTTTATTTCTTTAGAAGCCCCTTTGTCTTCCTTACCACTTCCATTTTCTACCTAAGCTGCCGATATGTGATAACCCTGCTGAGATCTTTGATATTTGTAGAGGCACTTGGTCAAGTTTCAATAGTTATAGAAAATTTGCCTTATAGATGACTTGAGTTTTATTTGGCATAAACACGTAGTTTTAAAAAAAAATTAAATATCTGACCTGTAATAATTAACTACTCCGTAGTATATCCATTTACTTGTTTTCTCTTCTACTGCTTTGCTTTGATTTTCTTCTCTCAATTAAGCTGGAGGCTGAAATTTGGAGTTCGTATAAATTGAAAAGTTGGGAATAAGTCGTTATTATACACTTCTGGATACTGATCTTAATTAGTCTAGCTCCACAGGAGTTGAGAGATAATGTGAACAGCCACCTCAATGAATAGAAGTTAGTCATTTGAAACATAAAGAAGTGCTCCCTAAAATTCAGAAACCTAGATGGTATACAAGAAGTTAATCTGATTGTTGGATCCTTTGTTTCATTTATACATTTTCAAAAAGTTTAAAAACACTTTTTTCCCTTAGCATTAGGTTGATCAGATTGACCACAAAGAGAACTTGGTCAGTTTAGCCATCCAATGAACTTAGTTGATCTTAAGCAGTCTTAATGGAGCATTGTCAATTTACAGAAATCATTTACAATTCTCCCTATAAGCAGTTTTTCTGTTGTTTTGCTGAAGGGGTAGGGGAAACCCTCCCTTGGAGGTATGCCCTATTGCTTCATAATCTGAACAGCACCTATAGTTTTCTGAGATTTCCTTTTGACAGCCTAGTGACTGTACTAAGAGCTGTGGTCTGGAAATGACTCTTTGGTGATTAGTAAAATAATTTAGTTACAACAAAAAATCATTAAATTGGAAAGGAAACAATTAGCCCCCTATAAGCCAGCAATTAATGTCAATTTCATTTAGATGAATCAGAAATTCTTATTTTCCAATATTCCATTTGTTGATCTTTCATTTCCAATTTAAAGTACGGCATGAAGCAAGTTGATCTACAGTAATGATGTGGTATACGCTTTACACACGCAGAGTGCTTGTAGGGCTAAGACGGAATAATTGGGTCTCTGGGCCTGGATTACCTGCAAATTTATTTAATCATCTAGCCGGACTTACTATATGACGGGAACTTCTTGGGGTCTTTACATAAGTGCTTTATGGTCTTTGTTATTTTTAGCTCACACAAACTGGCAAGGAGGAGAAGCTATCATATGTTTTGTGTTTTGGATTACGGGACAATGTAAACTTGCCCCATTATATCGAGTTTGATGCATAGAGGAAGTCATTTATGGTCGGAATTGAGCTCTATGGTGTTCTCTTTTTTCATTTGTTCTTTGCTAAGTGAAGCGTCACTCACTCCAGATTTTGGATATAGTAATGTCTTCATTGGCAACAGTTGCCCTCTGTTGGAACATAAATTCTAAAGGTCATTCTTTTGGTTTGTGCAGGATTTTGTTTTAGTTTGACACCGATAAAGAATGCATCTAAAGAACCAGAATGGTGTACCATATTGTCACAGGGGACTTTTGAGAGAGTGGTGTTCAGCCCGATTATGTGTGCTAAAGCTTAGACACTGACGTTGAACCCCTTCCAGTATGTTTCCAGCTCAGAACTTAATTTGATTTCTTGTATATAATATGTTCTCTCCTAACTTGGATCTTGAAAACTCTAATCAATATAAAATCTGCTTTAGAAATTTGAAAGGGTGACCGCTGCCTACTGGAATTGTTTTCTACTTTAGATATCAGTATTCTCTTTTCTGCAAGTGAATTTAAAGTTAAAGGTTAATGAATGGTGTGGTGAATTGAAAAAGAATCAGATAGAAGAATGACATCAGCTATTGAGAAAAGGTATAGAAAAGGCAGGGTCCAGCGCAGAGGAAATGCCAAGTTTTTTTGGCAGAATGCGGAAACAAGAGTCTTGTTTCTATGGCTTTAGGCATGGAAGGCGATTGATTGCTCTGCGCATTATTTATTGTGAATATAACATGGAGTGATTGTGGTGGTCCATTACTTTCCCTTCATTACTCTTTTCTTCTTTCCCTTTACCTTAAATTTCCCTTTCCCTTACTTTCTCTTTTTTCTTTCTTTGCTTTTGCTATCTCTTTGCAAATCTTTCTATATTCCCGTACCCCCATCAAATTATTAAACGCAAGACATGTATCTTTATACATAAAATTATTTAGTCATAGTTAAGCGTTACGTATTTTTATGTTATTTTATAAACTGCTAAGGTCAAGTTAATTGATTTGATATAAACATCGAGTGCAGATAAATTTTACCTGTATTCCCTTCTAAATATTTTAAACTGAAAACATAAAAAATGGATACATTCAACATTCTCATGTGTGTATTACTTTAGCGCTAACAGTTTTATAAAATAGCAGCTTGTCAAATATTCTAGGTGATTATACAACAACAACAACAACAACTACCCAGTATAGTCCCACAAAGTGGGGTCTGGGGAGGGTAATACGTACACAGGCCTTACCCCTACCCGAAAGGGCAGAGAGGCTGTTTCCAATCGGCCCTCGGCTCAGGAAAGAAAAGGAAAAGGAAAAAGAAAAACAAAAGAGCATTAGTGACTCCAGCAGAAATCGCATAAATAATTATCTAAACATAAAACCATAAATTAAATGACATGCAATAATATCGACCAATAACTACCATAAAGGGGCACAATACAATACGCAAGTCATCTATGGAGAGCCCTACCAAACCCCACCTAGCCCCGGGAATGAAGTACGAAAAGTTCTAGAAGCCCCTATCCTACAACCCTGATACTAGACCTCCAGACTTTCCTATCAAGGGCCATGTCCTTGGAAATCCGCATTCTTGCCATGTCCTGCCTAATCACCTCTCCCCAATACTTCTTAGGCCTCCCTCTGCCTCGACCCGAGCCAACCACCGCCAGCCGCTCACAACTCCTTACCGGGGCATCAGGGCTTCTCCTCCGCACATGCCCGAACCACCTGAGCCTCGCTTCCCGCATCTTCTCATCCACAGGGGCCACCCCCACCTTCTCCCGAATAACTTCATTCTTAATCTTATCTAACCTGGTGTGCCCGCACATCCACCTGAGCATCCTCATCTCCGCAACCTTCACTCTCTAAACATGCGATTTCTTGACCGGCCAGCACTCCGCCCCATACAAGATGGCAGGTCTAACCACAGCTCTATAAAACTTCCCCTTGAGTTTCGGTGGCACTTTCTTGTCACACAAGACTCCTGATGCAAGCCTCCATTTCGACCACCCCGCCCCTATACGGTGAGTGACATCCTCGTCGATCTCTCCGTCCCCTTGAATCACCGACCCAAGATATTTGAAACTGTCCCTCTTGGAGATGACCTGAGATCCAAGCTTCACGTCCCTGCCTACTTCGCTCGACTCGGCGCTAAACTTGCACTCCAGGTATTCTGTCTTAGACCTGCTTAGTTTGAAACCCTTAGACTCGAGAGTCTGTCTCCAGACCTCCAACCTCTCGTTAACACCGACCCTCGTCTCGTCTATCAAGACTATGTCATCAGCAAATAGCATACACCATGGCACATCCCCTTGAATATGGCGTGTCAGTGCATCCATCACCAAGGAAAATAAGAAAGGGCTAAGCGCGGATCCTTGATGAAGCCCCATAACCACCGGGAAATGGTCTGAGTCGCCACCCACCGTCCTAACCCTAGTCTTAGCTCCATCGTACATGTCCTTGATCGCTCTGATGTAGGCTTCCGGCACGCTCTTCGCCTCCAGGCACCTCCATAGCACCTCCCTTGGTACCTTGTTATACGCCTTCTCCAAGTCAATAAACACCATGTGCAGGTCCTTCTTCTTATCCCTGAACTGTTCCACCAATCTCCTGACAAGGTGGATAGCTTCTGTAGTGGAGCGGCCCGGCATGAAACCGAACTGGTTCACGGATATGGACGTCATCCCCCTCACCCTCGCCTCAACCACCCGCTCCCAGACTTTCATGGTGTGACTAAGTAATTTGATACCCCTATAGTTGTTACAACACTGAATATCCCCTTTGTTCTTATACAAGGGCACCACTGTACTCCACCTCCACTCATCCGGCATCCTCTTAGTCCTGAAGATCACATTGAACAACTTAGACAACCACTCCACTCCTGTCCTACCCACGCATTTCCAGAACTCCACCGGGATTTCGTCTGGCCCGGTCGCTCGACCCCGACTCATCCTACGCAAAGCCCCCACGACATTATTACCAAATAAAGAAATGGTTATAATTCAATTATGTATCATTCTCTTCATCTCGTTCATTATAGCGAGTAGTTAATCTCTTGATTACATAGCTGGCGAGATGACTTAATTACTATATATGGCTAGTTAAGTTGCGCGCGCGGTTTAGTGTTTCTTTGCGTAGAAGATAAACATTTTTAACTTTTTGACGTATTTCGAAGTTTCAATCATATGGGGCACTACTTCTTTACCTGAAAAAAGTAGTAGTAGTACTATATTTCTTGGGTCTCTTTTCCTTTTGATTTTCGTCTTATTGTGAAAGACTTAACCACCTCTTCCTGTCTTCCATCCGATTTCCTTTTCAACTCCATACTAATAAACATTACGTTGGCAGCACAAAAACAAAAGGAAACAAAAGGTATTTTAGGTACTGCTTTAATTTTTCATTTGACTGATTGTTTTTGTTTACCGTAAAAATGGTAATAACAATTAAATTTGTTAATGGGACTCTAAAAATACGTGATCTATTTTTATGCTAGTTGTTTAAGCAGATGATGCTATATGTATGAAGTTTAGAGGCGAGATGCGAGCTAAAATAGAGTTATAATCAAACCGATGAGCTAGCCAATCGGGGCCTCGGACTGACCGATACAGAGTCTCGAGGTCAATCCCTGGGCTCGAGCTCGAACCATTAAGGGCAATCGGGGAAGGGCTAACAATTGTAAAATAATCAACGAAGGCTCTTTATGGCCAATGATAAACAATAAATGAAGAACAAATATGAAAATAATAAATAAGAGCAACAATATCGAGAGACTATGTTAGAGAGAGAAAGAGAGAGTTCTTGTATATTTCGTATGAAGTAGTTGGAGCAACAGTCGCCCCTTACAAAATGACAAAGATCCCCTTTATATAGAAGGGGAATCCCTACACGGTATAAAATACATTAATTGTAAAGATATGGAGATGGGACGGCTAGACATGACACCCTGATTCGGGTTCAGAGTAGGCCGGCTAGGCTTTGCCAGACTTAGCCGTGTGTCTTGGGAACTCCCCGTTTTTACCTTTGCCACGGTCAATATTGCCTCTAGGCCGGGTGTCGACGAGCCTCGAGGGAGGGAACTCGGTCATAGCTTTGCGGCCTCGAGGCTCCGAGATGGTCTTCTGGAATGCCTTAATAACGGGAAATTGGACAATCCGATTTCACCCTATACAGATTTAACTTTAACTTTAACTTGATGAAGCGTAATTACACGCAAAAAATGAGAAAGAAAATGTCAAATTATCTGAAAAAAGTGTACAGATGGGATTATATTGACGTGTTCCATTAACTCTTTCTCTCTCTCATTCTTCTGTTTGACCTAATCGGACAATCTTGATAATTGATCCTCTCCAATTTAATAATGTTTTTTCATAGATACGTTAGCCCTTTGTCATTCCCTCGGCTAGCAATTAGTGCAAAATAAAAAACAAGAAAGGAAGAAAAGACTTTATCGTACAACATTTTCTCTTTGGCTGGATATTCCAACTTGCCGCACCTATCTCATGCTTTTGGTCCGAATATTGGCAAGAATAACAACCTTCAATGCATATTCCTACCGAGATTTTAGCCCCTTTTTTTCCTTAAAAAATGCTTTTTCCTAAGAAGTATCGACATTTCTCTTTCTTTCTCGTTTTAGCCAGCTGCAAACATGTCTATGATGTGTATAAAACGTGAGGAATATATAATATTTGGGAACTGACTATATTCTCGTCATAGTGGTTGGTATACATTATTAAAATGTTTTAGGTTGTCTTGAACTATTTCTTTTTTCCTTTAAATATTCGGTGTTTGAAATTCACTAGCCCGACTGATTTGGATTCGCATCGCATAGATTTGTTGAGGAAATAAACATTTCACGTAAAGAAATTTTCCACCTCAAAAATCAAAAACTCAAACTCAAAACTTTTAATTAAGGAGTAAAATCCCACCACGTCTCTTGTTGGTCTATCTTGAAGTAGTTGAAGTTACATAGGACCATTTCTGCTTCGTGTATTTGTATGGTTAAAATAATCAAAGCTTCGTTACCTTCTTCTGTGGTTGGTAATTAGTGGCAAGCAAATTCTAATTCAAAGCTCTCTAAAATAAGTTAATAATCACGCAGTCATCGTAAACTATTTATGCTTTTGTTTGAATAACTCATTTAAAGAAAAAATGCAATTTATCATTTTTTGGACAGAATGTAGTACAGTATATTCTGGCACCCATAGCTATGAATGACTTTAAGGTCTTACATACTATAAAAAGTAGCCGTCAGTATTTTGTCGACATTTCACACACAAAAAACACACACTAAAAAAATACATAAATCCGAAAACTCCAACGTTCTACAATATCCCTCCCCCATCTTTCCAACACAACTTTCAATTTTCCACGCGCCTCCCTTATCCTCCACGCGCGGCCCTGAAGAAGAAGATAAGAAAAAGTGAGTTGCTTTTATGATTGGTGTAGTAGCATTAAGTTAAAATGGGGGGAGTGACTTCTTCTATCGCCGCTAAGTTCGCCTTCTTCCCACCAAATCCGCCGTCCTACACGGTGGTCGCCGCCGACGGCCATCTCAGCATACCTGAGGTAGCAAGGAGGGATGAGGTAGACGTATTGAAACTTCGTACTCGCCGTGGAAATGAAATCGTGGCCGTTCATGTGAAGCATCCAAAGGCATCCGCTACTATGTTGTACTCTCATGGTAATGCGGCTGACTTGGGTCAGATGTTTGAGCTCTTTGTTGAATTGAGCCTCCGTCTACGTGTCAATCTCATCGGGTAATTAAAGCTTCCATTTTTAGCAGAATAATATTTGCTAATTAAGTACCTTCTTTTTTCAAAATTTTATCTAGTTTGTTTTCTCTTTTATTTTTGTTGTCTGATCTCATCTTAAGCTAAAGTTCATCTCTTACTTTTTCGAAATTCTATTTCTGTTTAAACTTTTTTTTTTAGTTTTAGTTTTCTGGAATCTAACTACTGGAAATACAGCTTTTGCAGTAACGTAGATTTTGTAACTTCCATCTGTGGATCACTTTTTTCTTGAATAAGGATGAGTCAAAGGTTTGGAAGTATTGTTAGAACTCAGAAATTATATGAATATGAAAGAAAAAAGTACTTAAATTTTGGAGCCAAGGCATTTAATGAGTAGAAATAATGGATCATTGTAAAACAACAGTATAACTTGTGAATTTTGTTGAGATTTAACAGCATTGGAGAAAGTTTGAGCCTTTGAGGAAGTTGTTTGTGTTTATCTATGGTGATGACACGGTCAAACTCATTTCTATAACATAATTTGAGCGGTATTCAATGTCTCAATCAGTGTTGATGCTCTTTGAGAGAATCTTGAATATAAGCAGGGTCTTCCTGATATCTTTTTGAGAAAGATACTCAGTAAAAATGTTATCTTCATCAAAATTTTATGGATGAATCTCCCTCTCTCTCTAGTTTTCTTTTAAAAACCATTTCTTGTGCTTCAATTCTTTTCTCTTAAATGTCAAATTATATAGTAGGATCAGACTGACCTTCTCATATTGTTTCTTGTTTAGGTATGATTACTCTGGATACGGACAGTCAAGTGGAAAGGTTAGATACCTGCTTCCTTGGTCTTATGTAATTGACATCTTCTTGTTCTCATTGTTCATAAATGAAGCTGGGACGAAGAGAAAAAACTTACTGCCTTCGCCCGTTTCAGTTTGCTACTTGTTTAATGACACGATTAGTAGGAAGAATATTGACATCTGTTGCGAAAATTCACTTTATCGACCAGCTCTAGAACTTGCATTGATGCTTGTTATTGGAGGAGTGTCATGGTAGAACTTTAAGTTTTACCTTTTTGGACTTTAAGTTTTACCTTTTTGGACTTTTAGTTCGGATTGAGTAGTGTGAAGGAGATAATAGGACCTGCCGAAGTAGTTCTGTCTTTCCAGGTCTTCTGGAGTCAAAATTTCCTCATTCAATAGCATTCTTCTCGCTCAGCAGCCCCTCGACTTCCACTTCTTGTTTGGGGAGGGGGACTTGAGTCTCAATAGAAACTTCCCTTTTCTTCTCTCTCCTTTTCCTCATCTCCCAGGCTTCAACCGAATTTGCTCCAGACTTCAGTCATCGGTTTACTGTAAGACTTAGTGAAGAGTTTAGTGCAAGGGAGACCGAGCAAGGGGAATAGTTCTTCCAACTGCTGAGTTTGCTATAAAAACGATATGAATCGGCCTATGTTAAGTAATGAGGGAAGTAACTATTTTGAAGTGGTGTATTGTAAGAGGACTAACAATAAGGGGGAAGCTCAGGCTATCAAAGCTTTGGTTTAGGGTCCACTAGGTTATTTTTATTTCAGAAGATTAGAAGTTAAATGCTGCTAAGATATGGTAGAAGTCAGCCTTCAATCTCATCCCTAAGCTATGTAATTGTTATATTTGTGTTGATTTATAAGTAGGCATTTCATATTTACTAGATTCTTCCGCAACTCTCATGTAAATATTGAAAAATTTCTTTCTTAAATTTTTTGGTTGCACACTTTCTGTAGATTTCTTATTTATCAAAAGAAAAAGAAAAAAAATTGGCGGAATACGTTGACAATCCCTTAAATTTGCATTTATATTTTGAGACACCCAACCAAAACATGTTTCAATTGAGAACCTGAACACATGATAAAATGTTTTTATTAGACACTCGTTAGGAAGATCTTGGGAAAGTGGCTTTTGGTTTTTTTAACGGAACGGCTCTTTTGTTTAACAGAATGGGAGTTTGTTTTAAATTGATTGGTTTTTTTAACTGATCTGTCTTTTTTCTTGTTTATTATAGCAAAGGATTATATCTGATCTAGTGATCTGTATTATTAAAAGAGGTGGCATATTGTAAGTGGTTAATTTATCCACGTAATGGGTGCTTGAGAACACGCGCATAAGGTTTTAAGTTTGAGCGGAAAGTGTCCAAACACTTTATCATGTGTTCAGGTGCTCAATTGAAACATGTCTTAGTTCGAGGTTCTAAATGAAATATACTGACAAGTTTAAGGGATTGTCAATGTATTCCGCCAAAACAATTTCTCTAGATTTCTTACATGAAAGTGTAGTCTTAAAGCCCATGGATGATGTCAATTTTGTATCGTCTCCCCTCCAGGCCTCATATTAGTCATTGACACCATTTGTCACCCGTGATGCTACATGGTCTTTAACTTTGAAACCCTAAGATTCTCTGAAGCGAAATCTTATGTCAGAGAACAGATTACTTCTCCTCTATGCTTGCCCCAGTAATCTGTCACTGGCAGCTTGGACAAAGATATATGGTAATATTGCCAAGGCAAATCAGTCTCCAACTGATGCTAATAATGCAGAAGAATCATTTCCCAACCATAAGTTTGGAGGTTACCTATGGTGCTGGTGGAGGTAGGAAGTATCCCGAGGAATTAGTCGAGGTGCGCGCAAGCTGGACTGGACACCACGGCTATCACAAAAAAATAAATTGGAGGTTGCACATACTGTATTATTAGGGATAGGTTTTCATCTATTTGACAACAACAGACAATAAATTTAATATGTATATTGCTTGGGGCTTTGGTGATGTAGGAATAACCATAAAGACAGTGGTTTTCTTTTCTGTACTTGCAAATATACAAGAACTGTTCTGTACCTTCTTTTTCTTTTTTGACGTGGTTTTGGGGGTGGGGGGTGGGGAAGGGTGGATGTGTTCTATGATTTGAAAGCATATTCGCAGGAACATACTAACGTTGATTATTTTAAGGTAGCATTGACTATTCAGCCGTTATTTTAGAACACATCAAGTTCTTTCAGCACCAACTCATATGTTACCTAACCTTTAACTTAGTTTCTCCTTTGTCATAGCAACCACAAGTTGGGAAACTTTGTCATAGCAACCACAAGTTGAAGCACCTTCTTACCTAACTGGTTTACGTAGTTGGGCCTGTGAAATCATCTAGACCCTGCTATGCACCTTTTTTTGCTTAACTGCTAGTTTTTGTTGTCTTAAAAGGGTAAAAGTCTCCTTTGTTCCTAGAAAGGAATGCGCAAGGTGTAGTATTGGAAATGGACTTATGTTTAGACATTAACCCTCCTTTCTAATCCCTGATCAGTAACCACTCTATTACAGAAGCTGTTTGCCGTTGCCTGTCAATGAACTCTTAAAAGTGTTAACGTACATTTTGAAATTATCAAGGAAGAGTTTTCTTGTCCCATTTGTACAATGAAAACGATGTATCATCCACTTTTTCATTTATTGAACTCCCATGACAAACCGTTTCTAGAAAAATCTTTTAGGACTAATATCCCTTCATGAAATCCATTATCCATATATGAGTGAAATTCTTCTTTTTTTGCATCTTCTTCTGTGCTTACTAGTGCCTCTGTCGTGTGTTGTGTGATATGTTGCAAAAGATATCACATGTCTTGATTTTCTTACTAGATCTGGGTAGACCTTTCAGTGAACTTTTTGTTGTCCATTAAGTATCTTTCTGAGGGAATATAATATTGCTTACCATCTATATCAAATGATAAGGTGAAAGACTTATGCCTTATCAAAGTTCAGATGATGCTGGAAGAGCTAAGGCCATTGAGGTTTCACCAATTTGGGTTGTACATTCTTAGAACTTATTCATGGTTCCAAACCGGAACAATTCTTTGCTTTTTACCTCGTTTCTTAAATCTCTCGATGCTGGCAACCATGCTAGTTGATTTGGGCATGTGGAACTTTAATTAGAATTTGGGCATTAAAACTTGTTTTTCTTCTTTATATAACTTTTTGGCTTAATGTCATTAACAAATTTGTACGAGACCCTTGCACAGAAATATAAGAAAGTTTCAGTTCTAAATCTTGCATTTCTCATTCATTGCTTGTTCTGGGAAATTGTTTTGGGTTTCATATGGGTCTAGTCCCTTGTTGCTGTTCACTGTTTTAAATTGTGATCAAATTATCCTTTCTCTGAAGCAGCCATCTGAATGTAATACGTACGCGGACATTGATGCAGTATATAAATGCCTAAAGGAGCAATATGGGGTCAAAGATGAACAGCTAATACTCTATGGTCAATCTGTCGGCAGTGGCCCAACCGTTGATCTTGCATCACGAGTACCCAACTTACGAGCTGTGGTTTTACATAGTCCAATATTGTCTGGTGTAAGAGTTTTGTACCCTGTCAAGCGGACATATTGGTTTGACATTTACAAGGTAAAATATTCTCAACGGTTGTCGATAATTCTTTTACCATCTCCACATGTAAAATCTGATCTCGTTACTCCAATTTATTCAGAATGTTGACAAGATTAGTGCAGTGAATTGTCCTGTTCTGGTCATTCATGTAAGTTTTCCTTCTTTTCAAATGTTTAATCATTCTATTCCATAAAGTTGAATATCTTCAAATTCTATCTATTTACGAAGACCTTGCAATGGAGATGGGTCTGGGGAAGATTTGGGGGGGGGTGCAACTACTCTTATACTGGTGAATACAACTACTGTAGACCCTTTCCGCGTTTGGACCTCCCAACGGTTCTGTCTTTTCTCGTGTGGTCAAGAATAAATAGATAGTTTCTAAATGCATAGAAGATTCAATTGAATGGCCATAATGTTCGTGAGGTTGGATAAATGTTCAGCGAGAAAGGCATGCACCCGGTACCGCAGAAACTGATCTAATAGGATCTTTCCTGTTGGATCCTGTAAACTGAGTTTGTAATAGGAAGTCCTGAAGAACTTTTACACGTGGCATAGTTCATATGAGTAGTGGAAATATGGCTAATCTGGGTTCGTTTAATAGTACATATTATGTTGGGGAGGTTTTTGGAGGGGGTGGACGTACTTCAACTTCAGCAAATGCTGATGATGTTGACAGGCCGTACGCCAGGCTGTACTTTTGACAGTGCAATAGGTTCTTAATTTCTGTTGACTGAAAGGATCAGCTGCTGAGCAAGCCTGCAGCTGATGGAACTATTTATCTGGCAAACCTTTCATTTAGTGAATAACTTCTAGAGGGTAATGTATAGTTGCATACCCAATATATCACATCAATTTTTCACAAGGTTTTGTTCTGCATCGAGGATAGAATGTGACCCTAGAGTGACTTGTTTCCATGATCACTCGTCTGAATTTAACATAACCTTTTAGTAGTTTCCCCTGCAAACCTTTCCATAACTTTGAATATTTTACTCGTGGGATTTTAACATTTCCATGTATAGGGAACAGCAGATGAAGTTGTTGATTGCTCCCATGGAAAACAGCTGTGGGAGCTATGCAAGGAAAAATATGAACCTCTGTGGATAAATGGAGGTGGGCATTGCAATCTTGAACTTTACCCGGAGTACATCAAACATCTAAAGAAATTTGTTATTGGTCTTGGCAAACCAAAGCCTGCCGCTAATGGCTCCCAAAAAGCATCAACAGAGTCTGACAACCAGAGTAAACCTGCCGAAACCGTCGCCACAGACACATTTGACCTGAAAACTGATCCTCCTGAAATTTCAAGGAACAGTTTGGACAGTCGACTTGAAAAGACTAAGAAGTCAAACAAACCTGAGAAGTCTCGGATGAGCACAGATCGTGTTGACAGGTTTAGGAGAAGAAAGGGATTAGTGTGGTAATTCCTTAAATACACAGGGAAAATACCTTTAATTAATCATCAGTAACCCGCCCAAGAAGGTAACATGTGCCTGTTTATGCAACAAGGGATGAGCCTCTAACTGCAGTCACTGTGAGTGTAATTGTAGCTGTAAATGGTCGAGTTATCTGTGTCATCAAGAGATGAAGTGGTGACGGAAAAATAAAGTAAGTAGCGCATCCCTTTTTCCCATGTATAATCAAATGTGACATTTTGACATGAAAAGCTTGTAGTTTTATACTCTTATGAGCTTCCATACTTGTATATTTGCGAAAAGCTACGCAAGATGTGCCGCTGTAGTGGCAGAAACTCTTGGAAACATGGCTTGGAATATTTTGAGTGTGTTTCTGAACATCCTTTAAAAGTTGGTCATTAATTAAGTTTCCAACTATAAGCATTTTAGCTCCCTGCCTCTGGTAATTCTGTTTGCCTAAGTTTACCTTAAAAGTTGAAAAGGCACAGGTGTGAAAGTAGTTCGTTTTGTTCCACCTCTATCATCACTACTGCCAGTAGTCTAATGAATCACAATTATAGAAGGAGAGCGGTGGAGCCGGCGATGGTTAAATGCGCGTGGAAAACTTGTTAGAAGTTTGGATAAGCCAATTTTATCTCTTTTGGTGACCATCTAAATTTTTGAATAAGTCATATAGAGTAAGAAAGCTGGAGAGAATATATTTGGTACTTATAATTTGTCGTATAATTTAATTTTCAAGAAAATGTTCCCTTCAGCGAAATCATGTTATGGTTTTGGTTGTTTAAATTGTAGAGTTTTTATTTAAATCTTCATCACATAGGAGAAAACAACTTACTCGCGGCCATTCTTGCCTATATCACCTATTACCATCGTCAGCCTAGAATGCAGCGTTCACTACGATTAAGAACGTACATCCAAGTGAATGCAGAAACTGAGTGAGAAAATTATCTTTTATGCCGTGGAAAATAATGTTCTTGACGTAACAAACACGGTTTGACTTCAAGTTGAGAAAAGTAAAACAAGTCATTTTTTCTGGGTGACAAGACTTAATGGTGCATGCATCGACTTAGGGTTACAGAGGAATCTTCCTAACAGTTATCTTAATATGGAAAAAGTAGTCAAGGTATATGCAGAACATCCGGTGTGTTCATTTGGCGAGGTGGAATGGCAAGTTTTAAGACAAAATAGACTTGAACAGAGCTTCCTCTAAAACGATGAAGTCAAATCTCCACTCAACTGTTATCCAGCTTATCATTCTTCATATGCCCATATCGCTTTGTCAAGATGACGAGCGATTCTGTGGAGGTGGTAGACCAGAGTACTGTGGTCATCCAAGTTTCGAGATCAACTGCAACATCCCGAATATTGCTATTGAGTAAGCAGCATACAAAGTGATAGCCATCGACACACCTACTCGAATACTAACCTTGGCTAGAGATGATTTACTGAGTAATATTTGCTTGGACAACCCTGAGAACGCCTCCTTGGATTTTAACATTTTCAGCTATGTTTCCAGTGACCAAAATATTACTCTGTATTATGGCTGCACCTTCTCTGGTTCGCACATACCTACTGGGCGTCCGAATGTGTTCACTTGCCCTAGCAATATATATTTGGTATATATGGCGTATCCTTCGACTTCTCTATAGTGAGATGCGAGAAAGAAATAATAGCTAGGGTCAATCAAACGAATGTTGTGGCTAGGGGTGTACATAGGTCGGGTTGGTTCGGATTTTCTAATTTCCAAACCAAACCAATTCTATCAGGTTATTAAACTTAAAGACCAAACCAAACCAATAAAAGTTGGGTTTTTCAATCTCAATTTTTCTCTGGTTTTTCGGGTTTTTTTCCATGAAGTCTTCATAGCAAATATAGAATTTGTGCTCCAAATATTTCTTTAATCCTAGTAAGATAGAACTATATAAGGTATTTTTCAATAAAATAACATAAATATGAGATGAGTCATGGCATCGTACTAAAATATTCAACAATAAAGATAATAAAATCGCATAAAATAAGTATTTTTAATAAGCCATAAAGAAGACAAACATAATTTAAAATTACGAATAAGTTGCTAAAATAAGTACGACTAATAAGCAATTATTTACATGTCCAAACACTAAAAGAAAAATAAGTTATGCATTTTATCTAAACCATGGAAAAACTAAAAAATAAATATCCAACACTATTAGTACAATTGAATTGAATGTCTTTTATTAACATTAGTATTGATTTTATATTGATTTAAGATTTATTTGAGATTTTTTTTTATGAAGTATAAAACTTATTGGAGCATCCACATTTTTCATCTTTCAAGCGATTCACCATAATAGAATCGCATAAAATAAGTATTTTTAATAATCTGGTGCATTCAGATTAAGCCGTCAGATCAACCAGCAATTGAGAAATGCTGGAGGGAAACCTTCACTCCCTACAAATTCCACCAAAACCTGTCTTGTTTTCTTCAACAAAATCCATCCCAGAGTCGTTTGCCTCCACATCCACAACAGCCTATGGAAAGGAGGCTTCAGTTCTGGAGCCAATTATCTCTTCCGAGTAAAAAAGCTTGATGCAAGCTTGTTATATTTTACTCTACTCAAATTCAAGTAATTGAGAAAGGAAGCGGGATATCTGGTTCCCTGAATCAGAAAACTAGCTACAATGCATTAATAAAGTTATTGCCAACTTTCACCAAACAAAGAGGACATAAACTTCACTTTAGTGTCATACAATGCATGTGAAAAGGTAATGATGCCTAAGGTTTGTATCCAAACCATCGAGCAGCCACAACCTGACCACACATTTCCCACTAAATTACACCACTAAATTACACTAACACCTATATCGTTGTCTTGTGGAAAATGAAGGGTAAATCCATAGGTGCACTACGCCCTGGATTGATAATCACCAAATAACAACGAATCCTCCCGGTAACACTCATCTCATCCTGCATCGCACCCACCTTTTGTTGCAGTGTGGACTTGCCACTTATCTGAGTAACTAATTTTAAAAGTCAATGTGTGGTATGAACAGGACCTTACAATTCAATCTGCCATTCAGTAGAAAAATATGAGACATGTCTGCAGTAGTTGAAACATGGAATTGGCACAATATCATGCAGTTGCTGCGAGAGGTGGCAGAGTGTCCTTAAAGAAACAGTAAAGCAATTAATTTTACTGAATCCGTGCTGTATGGAACAAATCTCTATCGTACGTTCATCTTCTCCCTCCTCCAAATGCTCTTTTATTGCTTTCGAGCATAGAGGTCGGCCTACCTAATGCTTCAATAGATATTTTCCTGTAATACAGGTCATGGGAGTTGAGGTCTGAGTTCTGGAAGTAAAGCAAAACAATCTTAAACCTTACCAGATCATGCAACAAGTGGCAAAAAAGAATGTTAGCAATGTTACTGTCAATCCAATGCTCTTATGCAAGTCCACCATCATCCTGCCACACAACACACGGATAAGTGAACTACACATTGGTTGAGAATTCCAATGAATTTGATCGTCCCAGTTACGCAAATATGAAAAACTGTTCAGAACAACAAAATCCGAATTGAAGCACCGATGAGAGTAACAGGAAAAGACAGCAAGAGAAATGATGGATATATTTATTAAATGACACACCTAACCTGGAAAAGGGTAAAGGAGTAGAAAGTAATGAATTCTTGAATCTCTGGAGATTCTTTCGACACCCTGTAACATTGCAGGCCAAAACGGTCCTACAGTGGTATTTTACAAAAATCTCACACTGTGAGCATCAAAACTTACTAAGCCATTCCCGTGGAAGGATATATCAACTCTCCCCTTTGTTAAGAAGGTGCAGTACTTGGCATCTTATCATTTACTTGCATTATTTAACGCATGATGCGAGGATATGTAGTGTATCTGCTTTAAAACTTGGATCTTCTGCTCATTTTTGGGATTCTAAAGCCACTGATGGTATTGACCTCAGACTCCGAGTAAAAAAAGTTGGAGGTTTAACTGCTAAAACTCAAAAATCATACCTTAACCTCATCAAAGGCATAAAATTTAGTAGACCAACACCACTTCAAGTCTAGATTGGATTTTGCATTCTCACAGTCTCCTATTCCAACCTAGTTCACAGAACTCAAAAGTTACTAAAACACAATACTCAGGTGGTGCTTAGTGTAAACTTGTCCTAACTGGAACATAATTTTGAAGTTCAAACCTCTATATTTCAGACAGGATTTTCCAATCCAAAATTAATCTGAAACAATATGAGGCAGCTTCACCTCTTACTTCAACCAAACAAAGGAAAGAAAAAAATCAATCGGATGCAACTATATATTGCAAGGTTTAGCCAGAACGAATTGGGTCATTGACAGCCACAGGCAAATCCGTATGTCTTGCTTATGAGTGGAAGTTACAAAGATGCATGACTAAATCATTTTCTTTCAAGAAAGTTTGGTATTGATTTGAAATGTCAACAAGTCAATAAATTTGAGTGCTGCAAACCGTCTAGAATTGAAGTAAAAACAACAGCTAAAATTTCTGGATAACTGACAGCATATCTTTATAGGTAACTGAGAATAAAATACCTGAAACTCTGCTGTCTCATCAAGGAGAATCACGTAGTTGAATGCTTCCACAAGTTGCACAGTTATCCCAAAAGTGAAATCCCAAGACGCATCTCAAAATTTACCAAGTTTAAGGTCATTAATCAAGGGCTCAAAGCAATAGTCCTTATTTCCCCATAATACTCAGCTAGCCAATGGGTGAACTCCCTTCGTGCTGATGCATGTAGACCATGTCAAGATAAAGATCAAGATCAAGAGTAGTTATGCACCACTAGCTTTTAGATCTTCCCCCATTTGACCAATCTTTACTGTATATTCTACCTGTAAAAGACAATTATCCATCAAATTTCAGCTAAGAGAACTGAATAGGATTCACTTGAGATACCATTTCAAAGCCAAAGCTAATAGTCATGAGGTAAGTTAAGACATGAAAGGCAAAGCCCATCAGTTGGTATGTAGACAAAGAGGAACTTTAACAGTGAGACAGAAATTACCAACTTGCACTTAAGATCAGAGATTGCCTGCTCCGTTTGATTTGCATAAAACTTCAATGACTGACAAAGAACAAAATAAATATTAGATCCAGGAATTATAAGAACTGAGGACCAAATAAACTAGCCATAAGACACAGAAGACTCACTCCAAGTCTCTGCATTTCAAGGGACCGACTTAAAGCTTGTCTTTTGTTTAAAAGATTTTGCGGCACCAATTCCGGGCGTCTGTAGTTCTTTCCCCGATAAATTATTATAGCATGGCCTTCTTTAAGTTTGTCTACAGAAACCAGTATTCCACCACTTTCTGCCTCCAGGAGATTTGCAGTATGAATGACCTGAGAAAAGATTTTCTGCATTGTGATCACCTTAACAACTTCTCTGTGCTTCCAATGCTGATGGAGACCCGCTAACACACCATCAAAAACACCGCGTCTCCCTGAAGTCAAATTGAAAAAGTAGATTTGAGCTGACCAAGTGATCAAGACAGTTTTATCATAGGACCAGAATTGCGTCAATTCTCAATAATTAAAGATCCTAAAATTTTGAGCGATTAGAAGTTATCAGATAAAGGCGTTATTGTCGAGTATTGGAATGAAATGGACCCAAATAAAAAAGAATGGATATGGAGGATCCATATAGTAGGCCCAACTAGTTTGGGGGTTGAGGCATTCTTGTCGAGCCCATGAATGATAATGCATTTTTTTATGCAAGCCCAACTAGGGAATAATATGACAAATAATAGCTAACTCTTTTTTTATGGAACTATCTAATATGTGTAACCATAGCAGAAATTTTAGAATCCTGGTAGATAATGGACAATTTATCTGTAGATGACTATGAAATTTTCAATAGCAACTCAGCTACACCTTTCATAGTTTGACCACGAAATGATAAGAGAGGATAATATAGCAAAAGTCTGCTCACCAAGCACTAAACTCCTGTCCATCTTCAATCCTATCTGCCTAAGAGATCGTCTCTCTTCTTGTGTTAAGATTTCTTTATCGACATCTGGTTTGGCAGGTCTCCATGCAGCATCTAACTTTCCCAATGCTATAGATGATTTTTCAATCTTCTTCTTGAGCTGCACGATTGAGTAAGAAAGCATCTTTCATTTGCTGCTGAAAACATTGAAAGTGGAAAAAAGAATAGCTGATATCTTACAATGTAAAGGCTGTGCTGTTCATCTCTCAGTTCTTTTTCTAATCTTTCTTTTTCTGCTACTAATTGAACTTCAGTCTCAGATTTCTCCCTTCCAGGTTCTGCAATTGTCTGGAATTCTGATAAAGGCCCAACATTACTACTGCTCATTGATTCTCCAGTAGTGATTGGAAGGGTTTCAATTGCTTTGAATCGTGCAGCTTCTTCCTCAAGCTGACATCTTCTGAGTTCCACTTCCCTCTCAGCTACAAGGCTTGCAACTTGAGAAGGAAGAAAATCCTTACCTCTGTATAGGATTATAAAGAACTTATTCCGCAATAAAAGAACTCCTCCAGTAAGATACTACATAAAAAATTTGAGCATTTTTATCAGAATCTGAAAGACAAAGCCGGTGATCTATACCCAATGTGCCCAACATTTTTTTTCTTTTAGCTTCTACCACTGCTTAGAAGAAGGCCGCTATGGCACTATGGAGATTTTGTAGCTAGAAAAAGAGGCGAGAATAGAGGAAAAGATAGTCAACAATGCATAGACTAAAAAAAAAAAAACTTCAGTCAAAAATTTGAGCATTTTTATCAGAATCTGAAAGACAAAGCCGGTGATCTATACCCAATGTGCCCAACATTTTTTTTCTTTTAGCTTCTACCACTGCTTAGAAGAAGGCCGCTATGGCACTATGGAGATTTTGTAGCTAGAAAAAGAGGCGAGAATAGAGGAAAAGATAGTCAACAATGCATAGACTAAAAAAAAAAAACTTCAGTCAGTTCAGTAATAATGGAGCACTTTCAAGTAACGACTTCCAGGAAAGAGGTCTGCATTGGAATCAATTCTTTTAATTGATTAAAATAGTCAGGCTCCTCAAAGATTTCCAAGAGTTTTAAGTTATACCAATGATGACATTATATCAGTCCAGAGAAACCAAAACCCAACACCAGAAACCGCCAGCCAAAAATTCAAGTGTTGCTTTCATCACTACCAACTTCCAACACCAACCTCTGTAGCCTGAACCACAGTTCCACTGAATACCACCTAGACCACGTTCGCTTTTTCCAGTTGCTGAAGTGTTTTCAACACCAAAAAATTGTTTACAATGCCACACTCCAAACACTCTTAATCACAATGAAAGTGGTTTTGCTGAAACATTCACCACCAAGCTTCCTAAGCTCAACTCTGGGACCAGTGCCCTGACATATTCACCAACAAAGCTTCAAAACCATCTATTACCTAGCTGCTTAAGTCCTCCTCTGTATTTTGCAATTTTGATAGTTAAGTCAATCCTAAAAATGAGAATCGTTCAGACAACATCTGAAAATAGTTTTCTAAAATACTACGTAGTAGAAAGTTCAAGGTGTGTTTTAATAGTTGTAGTATTTTTAAAAGACTTTTGTTGAAGTGAGTGTTTTGTAAGTAGAAAATTTGTTTCTCAAACAAGTTCTTTGAAATATACTCTCAAACCACAATTTCAAAAATTTGTGCTTGGAAAATTTATTTTACAAAAAACTTCTTTGTAAACTTAACAAACACGAATTGAAATAAAATAATTGCATGTTCATAAAAAATTTCATTGACAAGCGCCACCTAAATTTTAATCCATTAAATATATACTAGCTAAATTTGATTATTTTTATTTTTATGTTTTGATAACAGTGGTGTCGGGGCAAGCTTGTGCGTGCCTCGACTATCCTTCGAGTATCTATTAGCTCCCACTAGCACAAGTACCGGATAACTCTATTCACCAAGGGTTAGGCAGATGGGAAGAAATCACCTAGCATCTTTTGCCTCCGCTGGGATTTGAACCCTAGTCTCCAAGGTTTTCACGCAGTTTATTGGCCGCTATGTCACACCCTTGGTACACTAGCTAAACTTGATCATTATGTATGAATAAGAAGAATTGAGAACATAGAAGGATGCAAATGGGTATTGAAAGTAAGCAACTTTAAAATTGAAAAACTTCAAGCCTAGCCAAACCCTGTGCTACCCTACTTCCATCGCAAATTTCATAGAGAACCAAAATAGTCTTTCAAACTGAAGAGGAGTAACATTTTTTTTTTTTGAGTAACTAGTTTTTCTACTCTTACTAACCCTCAAGACAAGATAATTACATGAAACAGAGGGCAGTTAACAGCTCCTCTCCTCCCATTTTCTACTTTACTAAGATGCCTAGAAACATATCTGATGTCATGTAACAATAAAACAAGCTTGCTAATATAAGAACTAATAGAACAGACTCATCTGTTGGTCAAGAAGTTGACTGCGATTGACTGAGAAAATATAAGGATGTTAAGTACGAATTGTTCCGACTAAACTTACCTTCAGCTCATTTGCCATTAGCTCATTGTTCGTATTTGGAATTCCCCACTTCAAAGCTATCTTTGCAATATGACATTTCTCCCACAATTTTATGACGGCTGCAGCCAGACCTTGCAGTTTTCTGTTTCTCCCTTCATATCGTGTCATGAAAAAGTAATTACAATCTCAAACAGGACAAACATAGGCAAGTGTTGCACAAGGTGCATAACCTATTGCAACAAAGTGCTCAAAACTTTAAAATCATCCACGATACAAAATGCCAAATAAGTACAATTAGCTGATTTCTTATCCATGTGTAGCAAAGACCTAGCAACAGTTGAGAGTGCACTTGTATAATGTTCTAGAGACAAGAGGGGAAAGGTGACTTCTGACTTGCTTTCTCTTTAACCTTAAGAGGTTCAAACCGAAGACTCTTTTGATAAATTTATCTACTATCTCCATGTAAATTTAATCATTTTGCTTCCTAGGGTCAATTTGACCAGATTTTGGGGAAAACACAAGTTCAGGAAATAGAAATAAACCTAGGAATTACGTTAAAACAATCTCAAGTCACAAACTCTTACATTGAGAATATTTAAAAATCAATATTTCAACAATCTTAGGCAAACTATTCTTTTGGCCCTCACATGCAGAAGTGACAATTCAATAGTGATAAAAGGAGTACCTTACAAAAAAAGGCACCACATACAAAATAAATTTAAGACTTGTGAATGACAAACACCGTCAAAATTCTGAGTCAAATATAATGTTTCGTTATAGAAAGCCTTTTGAAATTAATTTAGATATTACATATCCACTTTTTAAATGTCTAGACAGTCAAACTGGAAGAAGCATATACCATTGCTAATGCACCGCTAGCAATTTTTCTTGCTTGATATAATCATATAATGGCATAAACACACACATACCAAACGTCATACAACAAGCAAACTACAATTATAAAACAGGAAAATTGTCAATGATAAAGATAACTCGAGTCCAAGTAATCAGTAGAGAGACAGTATAGCAATCCAGGATATACACAAGCAGCAAACATATGCAGAATAAAATTCATGGAGCAATTCATCTGCACAAGATACATCATCAAGAACCAGAAACTTACCGAGGACAAAATGAGTTGGCAAAGAACGAGCAAGCTTCCTTAAGTGTGTAAGTTCATCATCAGTCAGCTTTGATCTTGAACGTGGCGGGCAAAGTCTAAATGGTGGCTTAAATCCAGGAACCACTTCAGGAAGCAAATCTGCATCCACAGGTAAAGGCTTTGGCCACCACCAATCAACATAACGAGGTCCTAAGTCATCCAATAATCTATTAGCTTCCCTCTCATAGAGTGACTCATTTATTGTTAGGCTATCCTCTTCTGAGCTTTCACCACTTATCACATCTACACTGCTCCTACTTGAGTTCGACGACAAGAAAGCACTTGTCTTTTTAAAGGTGTCAGTAGATGAACTGTTTTGTTGACTACGGATAAAATCATGAAGTCGTTTGGGGTCATCCTTCAGTCTCAAAGTATAATCACATCCTCTATAAACAACCAGAGCATTTTTCTTCCTCCAAACTACAAAGCCTCCAGTCTTCATCTGCAGTACAAAAAAGAATAACACACAATTCGATCAAAAAGGACAGAAGATTAACAAAGCAACCTCTTCATTATCGAGCAAAAACTTTCTAGAAGCCATGTTTGTATTCTTTAGCAACTATGAGGAATGGTTTGAGGATTCACACTTATGACCCAGTGACAGAACAACTCATAAGAAGTTGAATACAAAAGGAGAAATATTCCGATCAATCAAATACCTACTCATCCTTTTGAAGTTTGAGCTGAAGCTGAAATTAAGTCATTACAAATAACAAGTATCCGTGCAAGTTCTTTTCACCCTATGAAGCATCAAATATAGAAAGCTTATTTACGGACATATAACAGTATATAAGATAGTGTTTATAGACCAACCTCAATAATTTCTTGAGCTCTGTCCATATTACGACATAAAGGCAGGTCAAATTTGAGCATTGCAAGTTCATTATTCTTCCAAAGCAAGTGGATTTGGTGAACAACAGCTTGTGTCACTCCTGCTTTCTTAACCTTCACCCACTTCTGAATCTGTGCAGCCTCACCCCTCAATCTCTCAAGCAACATTGCATCAAGTTTCAACTCAGCAGCTGTTAAAACTTTCTCCTTCTTCATTCTCCTATACACAATTCTCTCCTCACTCTCCCATGGCATTTTCTCTCCACTTCTTCTATTCCCACTTCCTTCATTCTCTCTTGATAAAATATCAAATTCCACTTTGTCCTTTTTCACATATGGAGTTTGTTCATTAAATTGAAAGTTCACATCTTTCCAATGAGTTAAAGAAGCAGGTGGGAACTGAAATTCAAACTTAGCATCAGTTTCCACATGTGTAAATTCCAAATTCTGTGTTTCTTGGAGCTTATCAATGCTTTGATAAATCTTCTTCATTGCCTTTTTACCTCTTCCTCCACTAACTTTACCAGAAAGTGAATCACTAGGATTTTGGGTTTTAGTAAAGTTGGCATCTTTCTTCTTTCTTGATTTGGATAAGTCCACAACTTGATTGGGTTCAACAAGAAGAGGACCCCTCATCCATGGAGCAGTAGGGCCTTTAATTCCTGAACTTGAACGTGAAATAGGGTTTGATGTTGACCCATAATCTTGATTTTCAAATTCAAGATTGCATTGTTCCAAGTTTTTGCTGGAATGATTATAATCATTGGGTTTGGAGGAAAAAGTGGTAATTTTAAAATTGAATGATTTGGAAAGAAGAACTGTTTTGGGTTTGATAACAAAATTGGAATGGGGACAGAGGGTCAGTGTATTAGAATTGGGAACTAAAAATAAAGTAGCAGACATGGATATGTTGATAAGAAGTTGCAGTTACTTTCCTTTTTCTCAGTTCCAAACTACTCTGCAATCCTTGCCGAGGAATTTTACTTTATGTCAACTAAAATCATAAGTAAAATTTTCTCACCACACGTATCACACTTGCTTTACATTTTGTATATCATTTTATAGTATTGTTCTTACAATATTTGCGAATTCAAATTATTAGTTTTTTTATTTTTAAAACTTTGAATAGCTTTTTTTGTATAATTAACTTTTTTTTTTTGGTGCAAAGGATGATATATATATATATATATATATAATCCCTAATGTTACACTGCTTAGGCAGTTGCTGGGGTACTTTAAGGCCCCCAATGATGCATAATTTTGCATACTAGTACTTAAGTTATAACCCAAAAACGATCTAGGTAGTTCAGTTCCTAGGATGTCTGCCCAAAATACATCAGTGACAAACACCGGAGGAACTGCTAGAGTTACTGATTTACACAAAAAATTTTCCTTCGCTGCTTCCTTTGCCAGTACATCAGCTACCATGTTTTGCTCCATGTAGGTGTGCCTCACCTCCACTCTGCCCATTCTTTGGATCAGCGACCTGCATTCACAAATTAGAGGGTCAAATATTAGATTGCCATTAATCAGCATATTGATTGTTTCTGAAGAGTCAGTGTCTATTTCCAGCGGCAGAAGGTTATTGTATAATTAACTTTTCACTACGTCCACTATTATTCACAATTCAACTAATATTTTAAAATTAATGTAATCAAATAGTATCAGTTACAAAATTGGACAAAAAGCTTCATTTATTTGGATAATCAGAATTACAATACTTTTTTTTTTATATATGCAATATATTGTTTACTAACATTTCTCACAAATTAAAGCAATTTTAGAAGAGTTGTGTTAAAATTGTAGGTGTTATGAAACAATAAAAGAAAAAAGCGAGTATTGCAAAGAAAAGTAGAGAAAGAGAATTCTTATTTGATATTGGGATGAATTACAATAGAATAGAACCCTCTATTTATAGGGAAAGGTTGACTTAGCCACCAAGCAATAAACCCTAGAATCTCTCTAAATATGGACATTCACCATAAATACAATTCTATTTATAACACTCCCCCTTGAATGTCTATTCAACAGATAATGTGCCTCGTTAAAACCTTAACTAAAATAAAACCCAGTGGGAAAAAATTTTTAGAGAAGGAAAAAGAGTACACATATCTAACAATACGCCTTTTGGTTGCCTCGTTAAAAATCTTGCAAGAAAAACCCAGTGGGACAAAACCTTGTAAGGGAAAAAGAGTACAACGCGTATTAACTCCCCCTCATGAGAGCATCAATTCACATCCTTAAGCATTTGTATTCCAATCTTGTGCACCATCTTCAAAAGATCTTTGGTAGATATTTGATGAACAAATCAGGCATATTAACTTGAATGAATATATAGCACCTTGAAATCATTATTTTTGATAGAGATGAATTGTCTTCATATTATCTTGATGGAATCGTCAGTTCAATATCTTCACATAGAGGTGAAAACTCTTGCTATCATATTATCATGCATATAGTTATAGCAAGATACATTTGTGCACAAACTGCACTGAGGAAGTGGTACTTCAAGATCAAGAATTGTATACACTTCAAGCAACTTAAATCCGTCATGGATTGTCATATAAGATAAGTCATATAAGCCATATAATAGACTTTAGATGCATATCAAGTTTTCATGCCATGCTAGACATATAAGATATCGAAAACTGATTGCACATACCATTGACTTTATACTTTCAAGTGTTTGAACTACATGTTCAAAACTACACGTCTTTCATATGAAACCAATTCTATTTGAATTGTGTCTCTTCTATTTGGCCAATATTTTTGTGTCTGTAAGCGACAGATTTAAGATCCTCATCTATACTTAGCGCTATCATAGATGTCGTAGACAAACATTTTATATCAGTTTCAATATATTTTCATAATGACATAACATAGAGATCTCTTTATTCATATATTCAGGTACCTGAATCTCTCATGAGATATTATGAAGTGTTATGTCATGTGATCTTCTAGATCCTTTATTATGATCATTTGCTCATCTTCTTTATCAAGAAGTATTTGAAACCGATTTCTATACGCTTTTAAGCGTACCATAGACTTTGTCCTTCTAGGACTTAATAGGATAATTTGGCAATCTCCACCACCTGCTGAAATGGAGTATATGGGTCAGCAAATGCGTCTGGCATGCTTTGCAATATATTGCACATGAATTATCCTTTTATGAACTTCAAGTTCATATTATCTTATTTGAGGATCTAGATGTACAAATGATAATTCATTCCACGTAACTTTTTCTCAAATGTTGTATCTTGTCTTCCCCTCATGTTAGAAAAACTAACTTGTTTCCTCAACTTTGAGAACCCATCTTTGTGCGGTATGGTGTTAATCAAAATATACACCGCACATCAATAATAATAAGATGGAATTATTTGGTTCCTGACCCTGAACCACTTGTGAGGGGAGAAAATAATATACTTTCATATATAACGTATATCAAACTGATATAGATAACTTTGTTCTCATAAGCAATCGTTTAGCTATTAAGTGGAGACACTCAATAAATCATTTTTCTAAACCAACTGTGATGTAAACCAACTTATCAAGATGAACTATCTTGAATAAAAAATCTGGAAATTATGCTCTAAATCAAATTATTGAGCAAGTTACCTCGCAAACACCATGTTGCGGGTTAATAATAATCGCACATGTAACCATCTCATAGATGCATCTTATGTGGTATACATGGCAGGTGAATGGGCCCATATTCACCTTTGATATTTCCAGCATTCATGGGATTCGATCCCAATTTTAGTTGGTCTATTAATTAATGAGAACAAGCAATGTAAGAGAATTCGTAAAGAACTTTCTAGTTCTTTAATATTTACCCATGTGTTCTTTTATTTTTGCACATCATACTTGAATTAACATGGCTAAACCAATTATGCCAACTGGATAAATTATCAATATTGATAACTTCAGGTTTACACCATGATGTGTGCAATTATGAATAAACTCCAAGTTTATTATGATATGAGTTTTTATATCAATAAATATCCACTTCATTGTGGTATTCTTTTGTTTATGTAGTACAAATTGGAGAATAAAGCGGGTAGCTTTTCACATACATATTACCCCGCTCCAAGTTGTAGTAATAGAAGATATTAAATCTTTCCTTTATTTATAGTCTCAATATAATCAACCGCTTTCGCGTATACTTTGGAAACTGAATAAGTTTCTTTGAGACTTACTACAACACAATACCTTATTGGTAATTAATTGTGTTTTTCCAAAATAGTATAATTGGCTATTGCAGAGTTCTCAATTAATTTTGTAGTACCATATATTCATCTACACTCATATGGTGAATATCTCTTTTAAAGAGAAAGCTATACCATTATAGTCATGGTCAAAACTATATGCAAGATCTGTTTCTTGCATTAGTGTTATTCTTTAATAATCATGTTACCCGAATATTTGGGCGTACAATAGGTACGTGACCAATGACCATTCATGCCATAATAATGACATAATAATGACATTGCTTTCTTATATCATCTCAAACCTCCTTTTAGAGGTGAGTGTGTTATAATCACTACTACTAGCACATTCATATTCTTTCAAGAATGAATATATATTCATAAATCAGATGTTTTTACATCCACATCATGAATGGACCATAGTCATCTGTATGTGCTTTACGAAATCTTATGTCAAATCGATGACATGAAGGATTATTTTGAGAATCCTTATTGTTCTCATTACCACAATGATGATGATTATAATTTCGTCTATTGCCGCGTCCACATCCATTGATACATTCATAGTAATAATTTTGTCTTCTTTCAGATTTATCACATACTGCTATCACATTCTCTCAAGGGAATGAGAATGGAGCAAATTTAATGGGACGGGTCAATTCTTTGCCCACAATCATACATGAATTTGATCATGGCGAGGCATAGAAATTTTACCACTTCGAGTGGTTATAATTTCTTACTAACTCCATTAGAGCTATAATCAAAATTTATCATCTTTGCTTGTATTTAAAAACAAATTATAGAAGTAAAGAATTTAAACGAGACAAGTAAAGTAAAATACTTACCTTAAATCCAGAATTTAATCATGAAGGAAATTCATAGAACAATTGACAATCATTATGATCAATCCCAAAGCTTCTACTCAATTGGTTAGAGTCTCGTGCTGATAACGTGTTATGAAACAATAAAGGAAGAAGAAGCGTACTGCGGAGAAAAGCAGGGAGGGAGAATTTTTATTGATTTGGGATGAATTACAATGAAATAAAACCCTCTATTTATAGGGAGAGGGTGACTTAGCCACCAAGCAATAAACCCTAGAATCTCTCTAAATATAGACATTCACTATAATTACAATTCTATTTATAACAGTAGAAATCTTTTTATTATTATTATGGTGTTCGTCTTTCTTATCGCAGTAAGCCGTTAATGCTCTCAAAATTACGATTATAAGAGGTTTCTCAAATGAATGATTTCTTCTCATCAGGTCTCAACCACATACTAAATATTCTTTGCAGTAAATTCTCGAGCAAAAAAATGAAGATGCATTCAAGCAGAGTCACCAACCAGAGCCTAGAAATCAGCGTATTTACTACATATAATTTAGTTTTAACTCATATATCAAATTGGATATTTGCCCAACATAACATGGTAACACGTTATATTCATGTGAAACATTTGGCTTTCGTTAGTTAATTACTACATTGTATATTTCTATAATTTTGTAATTCAATAATTACGCGGTCATAACAACTCCATTTAACTGTCAGTCCTGTCTTGTATCCTTGTTGATTATACATCAATAACAGAATGTAAAAAATAGCACGGGCTAGCCAATTTTCGGACTAGTCATTTAAAAATAGCCAGCATTTGCAAAGTCATTGAAAAATAGCCACTATTTTGCTGCAACATGAAAAGTTCCAACATAATATACTGGAGCTCGGTGCACCTATGTATGAACTTCCAGCATACTATGCTGGAACTCCAACACGTGGAAAGTTCAGCATAATATACTGGACATTGGATATACTGGAGTTCCAGTATAATTATGCTGAAATTTCAGTATATTATACTGAAATATTTTTTCGAATTTTGAACAGTGTTTTCGTTCAGATTTATCTTTACATGAAAAGTGACTAAATTCGATTACTTTTGAAATTATGGCTATTTTTGAATAATCACTTGCAAATCTGGTTATTTTTGAATTTCTCCCTAACAGAACGAGAAAGATGGGCCAGTTTATTTGACAACCAAGCCAAATGTGCGACAAAGTATCACATCAGCAGTGTACGTTGTATAATCATAGCACAAACATATAACTTCACAGCACAAACATTTGACTAAAAATTAATTATTCTCCTATAAGCTTATGTGCTCCACGTAGTGTTTGTAGAAATCACAGTGAGTTATCACAAGTTCACAACCAACATATGAACTATCAAAAACTGTGACATAGATTAGCCTGAAAGTTTCTGCCCCGCTGATTTTATTAAATATAAGGGAAGAACAGACATGAGATGACATACTCAGCCTACAGAATTGTTTTCAGTCTACAACTTAAACTACTACCAAAAAACTTTACATCCATCAATGATTGGAAATACACGAGACAAATTCTAACATTCCACAGGTGGCCTAACAACTAGGACAATGAACAGCAAGGAACATCCTTGGGTGCAAATCAAGTACATTACATTTTCTTGGCATCCTCTTCAATCGGATCACGAAGAGTTCCAAACATCCAATCCATCCATATTGTGTAATGACCATAATTATGGCGGTATGTCGTATGGTGAATGGTATGATAGCCAGCACCCATTATAGGAAACACCTTCCCATGTATGCAGTCATGAATATTAGCCGTCCATAAGGCTTCCAAGAAAATGAGTGCTATGTGTGTAGTAAAATGCATTGGCACCAGGAATAGAGCTACAACGTGTGGCACTGCCTGCAGTATTCCATCCAATGGGTGGAATGCCAATCCTGAGTAGCAGAACATGTCGATTATTATGAAGCTCTCGGAAATGAACTATGACTATGGGCAGATAAACCATAAAAGAAGCTATGACATTCAGAGGTCAATTTGTGACAATTTAGCAACCAATTTCCTAGAATGGATATGCATTGAAAAGAACAGAGGCTTATAAAAGAGTCAGAATGTCAGAGATAATAGATGGTACAAAAGACAAAGCAGTGACAACTTAGTAATGTTTTACTTCCAGGGCTATGTATTTAGATTCTGAAACTCATTTAGACGGGAGGAAGAAAATCTATGGCCGAAAACAAAAGTTTCAATTTTCATTTTGCAGAAATCCGTAGTATCCTATAGTTCTTGTTCAGGTTCTTGTGGAAAGCTTGTTTGGAAGAAAAAGAGGCTCTCCATAATGCTGGATTTTTGGTATCCATTTTAGTAACTATTTCTCTTTATCTTTTTTACCAAAAGGCATAAAAAGCATACTAGCTTTCTTCACTTACAAAAAGAAAAACAAGTGGATGTATATGGAACTATGTGTATTTATACAAGAAAAAGAGCCGAGTTTGGTGTGCACAAGTGGCTGTGCATGTGAGAAGAGAGAAGATAGGGAGGGTATTTTTTTCTGATGAAAAGGTAGGGAACAGAAGATTGGGAGGAACTATGCTGCTGTGCATGGGATTAGTGGCTGTCCTGCAGAGAGGAGATAAAAGAGTGGATTGGAACATACAGTTTGCATGTTGTGGGTGTGATTCGAGTGGTCAATGGCATAGTTTGTAACATACATTATTTTTCTCTTTGTGGTGGAAACATAGGAAACACCTTTTAGCCATTTTTCAGAATGTCCAACTTTTGAGAAATTTGCTTAAATATTTTTCTCTCCTCAATCCTATCATGATTTCTAGTTTCCCACAAAATGATAAGAGAAAATAAGAACAGTTTCTTGACCAAACACTACTTTGCTCTTTCAAGTAATCTGGATTTCGTACAGAGAAACATTTAAAAGGTAAGAGATGAAATTCCAATGAATTGCTTTGTTCCCATCGTCTTTATTTCATTTCAAGTACTATTCATGAGAAACTCATAGTAGTCTTGGTAAAACGAGTCTAACCAACCACTTCAGTCAATCCTCCGACCAAGAAAGAAAAAGGTGATGACACAAGACTAGGATGTAAAAATTTACACATTAGTTTGTCCTCAGGACTAGCTTCCCAATATTATAGCCATCATACAGGAAATACAGCATTAGTTCGACAAATTATCAAGAAGTATCAAGAGAAACCTAACTGCTGCGCCAGCTACAAGCTGTTATCGCAAATAAGCCACAATTATGAGATGACTAGACTTGAGAGCTTACCAGCAAATGGGGAAAGTGTATTTTGCTTGTTGTAAATATGATGTGTAGCATGCAGATATTTGTACAGAGGTTTTATGTCATGCAACTCTCTATGCATCCAGTAGATCCCAAACTCCACTATTACAAGATAAATAGCCGCATAGATAGCATAGGAAAGCCATCCAACATCACTTATTCTTGCAAAACATTTTGTCCATCCATTTTCAATCATGTACTCAGAAAGTGATGGAAGGGCACAGTACCATGGCATCGCTTTCATGGCAACTGATATTTGCAAGAGCATTGCTTTGTTCGAAGGGATGGCATCTGCAATAAAAATGTTCATGAGCCCATAATTTCTCCTTTTCACCAAATGAACATCACAGGAAAAAATATGAAGTAAGATTTAAGTTATCTTTATCGAAGCATAAGAAAAATGGAGTTGTTACATCCATTGAAAAATTGACATCCATATTTAGAACTAAAAGGACCATTAATTAAAACAAATATAAGATCAGCTTGTAACATTCAACAACCACTGATATTATCTTGAGATAATTGAGGAGATTTGCTCTGGAGATCACAAATAGCTATCCATACGATCTAGTTCAGATTCATAGTCATCAAAAGCAGAATCACTACCTTAAAATTTGATAAAACAGAAAATTCGTAATTGTTTTTCAAGGTTATATATTGATCTACATATACACAATGTAATGTGAATGCATGCGTAGCCTTTTTCCTACTCTTTACATATACACTTAATACTGTAGCACGCAAAAATGACACATCACACATATTAAGGTAAATGTAATTTATGTAAAAGAAATTCAAAAAAACAAACATAAAGAGGGCAAAGAAAAAGAAAAATTCTTACCTTTGGGAATATATACATTGCGTTTCAAGTGATAGATGTAGAAGCACCAGAGGAAACCGGAGATGAAGTAAAGCAGAACTCCACCAATGTAGTTACGGAGCCATCCCTGAAGCATGTGAGGAAGTGGTCCCCACCATGATTCCGGCAGGAATGTACCCAAAACCAGCCGATTGTAAAACGATGTCTCCTCCACAAACTGTTTCAAGTAATCATCCATCTCCGACGAAAGTGGTCGGGTCGGGTTTGACCAGATTCCGACGGCGATGATCCGGTGAAGAGGGTGAGAAGTGGAGGAAGATGGAGAAAACAAGTGGCTGTGTAGGGCGACAACTATGTGTGTTTCTGGTCTGCGCCACTATTTAATACAGAATAGATTCCGTTTTGGACTTAGCCCATCATAATGAGCTTAGCTTTGACAAAGGATTCTACTACGTAATAAAATATTATCGTATTGAATAATGATAGTTTTTGATAGAGATTTTCATGATATTATATTTCAAACCTCTCTATAATAATTTATTTGTTCCGAATATTTTTTGATGTTATAGTAAATTACTGTTATAGAAAGTATATTTTATAATAGAATATAATATTTGATTCCGAAAAAATTTGACTTTCATAAAAAAGTATTGTTATATAAAAATATTTTTACAGATAGATAGAGAGACTGTAGTCCGAAAAAAACAAAAGAGAAATAAGGCGTAGTGAAAGTAGTACTTCAGTTTTTTCGGGGCAGGATAAAGTACTCTTCTGTGCTCTGTCCTCACCCCACTTACATTTCACATTTACATATTCCTTTATTTTCGTAACAAAATTAAATATTTCTTATAACAAAAGTACTTTCCTCAAATTAACGTTCAGTCCAATATTTAAAAGATTACATCATTTTATGTAAAGTACAAATCTGTTAAGTTATTTTTCCGAAAGCACTTTAACATGCTTCATCTGTGTTGGTGTTAAGTAATCCCTCCGGTTCAAAATAAGTGATTTTTTGATCTTTTCTTGTGGTCTAAAATAAGTAATTTTTCCATTATTTTTTTCCTACATTGTCTTTGGAGTAAATAGTGTCGGAATATGTATTAGGAGTGTTTATGTGAGATAGTAAAGGTTAATATGGTTAATTACATTACTAATTAATTCTAAAAGATGGATTTCTTAATCTGTGTAAAAACATCCAAAAAAATCACTTATTTTGGACCGGAGGGAGTACTATTTGGCAATTGAATATCTTGGTGTTAGTAATTGATCAGTCATCCACCTCAACTACGTTTGATTTTAGCTTTGAAATTATTTGATAATTGACCAGTATATTCTTTGTCTGTTCGACATTAAAGATTTGTACAATTTAATAGCTACGTCTATCTAACTTTAAGGAAACTACTGGAATAATGAAAGATTACAGGTTTTTCCCTTTAGAGTCTGTTTGGAAAGTCATTCGGTAATTGGAATTGATGTAATTAGTAGGGTAGTAATTATACAGCCTAGTAATTACACAGTTATATAATTATGATAACAAATTTTTTTGTCATAGTGTAATTACAGTATAATTACGAGTTTACTGTTTGGTTTCACAAGTGTCATTACAAAGTTAGGTTGAATTTTAAATTAAGTAATTATCAAAACTTAAAAGTTAATATAATAAATATATGCCTATAATTTTTTATATGTATAAATGATATTATATTTTGTATTTAAGATGTATATTTTTCGTGAGTATACATTAATTTAGTAATCGTATATTTATAACTAATATTGTAAAAATAATTTATTTATATTTTAAATTAACAAAATTTAGTTTAGATACTTCCAAAAATTAAAAATATACCTTTTTTAAGAACATCATGAAATTCATGTTTGATAAAATAAATTAATATTTATAAATATAATGTCATAAAATTATTCAAATGTTTGACAAAACTAATCTATCAATTCTAACTAAAAAATGAACAACGTGCAATGTGAGCCAATACTACTGTAGACACTGAAATTTTAACAGGTCAAGATAAGTTCTAATTTTTGGACAACTCTTGAAATATTAGGAGTCTATTAGGATTACTTGGTGGCTACTTCACCAAAACCCTAATTTATGCCTATAAATAAGGCAAAATGTATCCTTCAAAGTCGATCTCGAAATTCCATTAAAAAATCTTACAATATTCACAAAGAGATCAAAGACATTAAATATTGTCTTTCTCAAAGCCGCCGAAGTGATCAACGTATGTTCTTCCTTTTCATAGAGATCAAATACATCTAAATAGGTCAGCATCATCCTATGTTCGAGAAATACGCCGCCAAGGCCCTCGAATCACGTAGAATAAATCGGAGGGAAGAATCAAGGGATAAACAGAGTTGTAACATGCATTGTTTATCAATAAAATTATTTTTTCTTTATAGTTGTTTGTGATTGCAGTTTTATTTTTCTGCATAAATTTGTTGCAAATAACTACTAAAACAAGTAAATTGGAACCATGAATCTAACACAATTTTAAAATTCAAAAAAATAAAATAATTTAACATATGTCAAATTCCAACATAATAATAGTAAGTTCTAGTGCAACTTAAGATTAGGAAACATGACAAGTTTCCTATTTGAAATTGCAATGGAATATCGAAGTCGCACCCTAAAGGAAATGACTGAGAAGAAAGAATTTCACTATCTCCCTAGATGTGCAAAGCTGGAAATAACTCACCTATGTTTTGCTGATGACCTGCTAATATTCTCAAGAGGTGATATTTCATCAGTAATAGAAGTACAACACAGCTTCAACCAGTTCTCAAAGGCTTCAGGATTGCAAGCAAATTTAGGAAAGAGCTCCATTTATTTTGGAGGTGTATCACAAACTGATCAAGAACTGATACTGAGGAATCTGGGATTCACTAAAGGATTACTACCATTCAAGTATTTGGGAGTTCCTTTATCTACCAAGAAGCTGACAATAATGCAGTGGCAACCCCTTATTGAGAAGATAGTGGCAAGAATTACATCATGGACAGCAAAAAAACTGTCATATGCAGGTCGAGCTCAACTGATAAGCAGTGTGTTATTCAAGGAGGTGTAAATTTTTTTTTTTTTTACAAGTCAAGAAAATGAAGTTTAACTCTTTTAGAAAATCATTTGCAACTTCGATATGATTTAAGCAATTTAAACTATCAATAAGGTTACATTTATTACAAGTAAGCATGCTTTTGGGTCCTAGACTACCCGGACATAAGTATTATAGTAGCTACGCACAGACTCTCGTCACCTCGTGCGTACGTAGCCTCCACAAGTAGCAGCACATATTCAATTAATTCACATATGGGGACAATTCCCTCTTACAAGGTTAGAAAGGAGACTCACCTCGCTCCGAAGTTCCATAATCGGCATTCCACGCCCTTCCGAAGACTCAAATTGATGCACAACGTTCCAAAACTAGTCAATGATTATGTAAACCCATTAATACATGTTTGATTACTCATAATAATCCAATTTATAATAATTTCTAACCCCGATCGAAAAGTTAACAAAAACGCCCTCGGGCCCACGTGCCTGGATTCCAAAAATTTTCGAAGATAAAGTTTACCCATAACCTCACGAACACAAATATGCAATTTACTCTTAATTTCATGCCCAAAATCGTGGTCATAATCCAAGAATACCAATTTTCTAGGTTTTCCTCAAACCCCCAAATTTCTACCAATTTACATGCTAAAATCCATACATAATCAATATATTTTAACTCAAAATAGGTGGGGTTAGCTTACCTTGTCGTTGATGATGAAAAACCCCCACTTGAAGCTCTCCAAAAATCGTCCAAACAAGAGAAAGATGAAAGAATATGGCCAAATCCCGACTTTAAAACAACTCACTGCCCCCAGCTTTTCCGCACCTGCGTTCACCTGATCGCTCATGTGGTTTCGCAGGTGCGGCCACACTACCGCATCTGCGGTCCTTCATTAGGCCCTCTCCTTCCGCTTCTGCGCTTCTCCTTCCGTAGGTGCGGTCCCGCTTCTGCGGCTACATGACCGCATCTGCGGTCCCAGCCTTCTCCCTTCTCAACCGCATCTGCGCCCCTTTGGCCGCTTCTGTGGCTCCGCACCTGCGGCCAAAAACTCGCAGGTGCGGTTACACCGGATACCAACTGCTGCAATCCTTCTTCAAATTCTAATTTTGATCCGTTAACCATCCAAAATCCATCCGAGGCCCCCGGGACCCCAACCAAGCATACCAACCAGTACCATAACATAATGCAGACCTGCTCGAGGCCTCAAATCACATCAAACAATGCTAAAATCAATGAATCGACCTCCAATCCAAGCTTAATGAACTTTAGAATTTCAAACTTCTACATTCTATGCCGAAACCTATCGAATCACGTCCGATTGACCTCAAATTTTGCACACAAGTCATATTCGGCATTAAGGACCTACTTGAACTTCCGGAATCGGAATCCGACCCCAATATCAAAAAGTCCACTTCCGGACAAACTTCTAAAAACCTTCAAATTTCCAACTTTAGCCAAATGACTCCAAAATGACCCACGGACCTCTGAATTGACTTCGGATCGCGCTCCCAACACCAGAATCACCATACAGAGCTATTCGTAGACTCGGAATCCCAAACGGACATCGATAACACTGAAATTCACTTCAACCCAAACTTATGAAATTCTTCCAAAAATGCTAACTTCCATAATAGGTGCCGAAACGTTCTCGGGTCTTCCAAAACCCGATCCGAACATATGCCCAAGTCCGAAATCATCATACGAACCTGCTGGAACCTTCAAATCCCGATTCCGAGTTCGTTTACTCAAAAATCCAATCTTAGTCAATTCTTTCAACTTAAGCTTCCGAAATGAGAATTCTCTCTCCAAATCAGCTCTGAACTTCCCGGAATTCATTTCCGACCATGCGTACAAGTCATAATACCTGATGTGGAGCTGCTCATGGCCCCAAACTGCCGATACGTGCCAGAGCTCAAAACGACCGGTCGGGTCGTTACATTCTCTCCCACTTAAACATATGTTCGTCCTCGAACGTGCTAAGAACTGCGTTGGAGTTGTCTGAAATCACAATTAAACACCTCGTGCACCTACCCGTGCTACCACACCCAGTTGAGCACATTAGCTCGAGAAAATCCGAAGATATTCTCTTTTTTTCAATTAATGAGCCTTAGAGCCCAGTTTCAACATACGAAATTTCTCTGCCAGGCCTGTTTCTAGTATATGAACACTGTATCAATCGCTACGCGATGAACCAGGACATGACTGCATACCTTTGCTGGATTCTCACCATGCGCCACATCATTCACAGGACCATAATAACGTTCACTAATCATAACAACCGACATTCCCCGAATATAATGCTCATAATGCACCTCATGACCTGTATAAGTCTTGTTCCAACTCTTACAATAC